AAAATAATAAGATATTTAATACTATATAGTAGGAAATAGCTAATAATACTATTAAAAAGGCTAGGCTATAGGCATTTTAGCTTCTTATATTTATAGTAATATTACTTTCTTATAAAACTAATTAAAAAAATATTACTAATAGTATTTATAATACTTAAATAGCTATAATATATATAAAGACTAAAGATAACTTTAATAAGCTTTTTATTAAGCTATAGACTATATTCTTAAACCAGCCTAGTAAGTTTAAAAATATATCTTTTTATATTATAAAATATATTAATTTAAAGTTATAAAAATTATAAATTACCTTTTAAAAACCTATATAATTAAATACTATTAATTTACTTATTATATAATTAAGGAATATAAAAATTATAATATTATAGTAATATCTTATATAAAGAGTATATATATATAGTTAAAAGTACTTTTTAAAAATAGGTTTACTAATTTATTTTAACTTTAATAGTATATTTAAAAGCTTTTTAAGTAATACTATTAATACTATTAGTATTAATTTTATTATAAAGTAACCTAGTGCTAGGTCTAGTTTATTAATAAATTAATTTTTACTAATTTACTATAAAAAGTTAGCTAGTAAGCCTTATTATAAATCTAAAAGTAACTAAACCTAGTTAAAGATAACCTATAAAAGAAAATAAAGCTTAAAAACTATATAAAGGCATTTTTTATATAATAAAGGCTACCTTATTACTATATAATCTTACTGCTATTATAAGTAAAAAAGTCTCTTAAATTATTACACCTTAATAAGCATTAATAGCTTAAGGCAGATATAATATATTAAAAAACATTAAAAAATAAATATTATAAGGCTAACTATAGCTTTAAGCCTAAATAATAAATTTAACTTAATTAATTTTATAAATATAATTTAGTATAAGTACTATTATAATAAAGGCCTTTTAACTACCCTATCCCTTAGTAAGTAAAAATAGGCTAAAAGCTTAATAACTAAAAAGCTTTTAAAATATTATATTAAGCTTTTATATAATTAAAATTATAGTAGTAAAGTTAAAATTTAGCTATAAGTATTATTCTAGCTGCTATATAAGTATAGCCTTTAGTTATTTATTAATATAGCTAAATTCTATTATATTAAGAATACTTCCTTATACCTTTACTATTATTATAATAAATACTGCAGTAGTATTATTTCCTATAGCCTTTATAGCTACTACTGCCTCTAGTATTATAAATACTACTTTTAGCCTAAGGCTTAAGAAGCTATTAAATATAATAAAACTTATAGCAGTATTATAAGTATTTTAAAAGTACCTTTATATATAATTTTAAGCTAAATATATATATCTTTATATAGCTAAGTCTTTTATAAATTTTAAGGCATTATTTTAAATTCTAGGTATAGTAGCTGCTACTATTATAATAATAAATGCTTTTTTATTAATATAATTAATACACTTTCTGCTAAATATAATTAATATAAAACTTTGCAGTCTAATAGACTTAGTTTATAGTAAGTATAAATCGCATATTATTACTATAGGGGGCCGACCTTCCTAGAACAGGTTTAGTGATGTGTGGAAACTACTAATTAATGTGTGGAAATTGAGAGGCTCTTTCTGTCTGTCTGTCTGTCTTGTCTATTTGTCTTTGCAGAGAGAGAGAGAGGCAATCTGCACAATCTGAGAGGTGACCAGCCACCGCCCCCAGCAGCCCGGGCGCTTTTCATCATCCATGACAAGACAAAAGGACGCCTCCGTCTCGTCTCAGACGACGAGCGACCACCGACGGTTAGCATCCAACGCATCTCTCTGGCCCATGGCATCCCTTGCTTCATGTTTCGCTTACCCGGAGGGCAGGATGCTAATCGATATTCCGTGCGTCTGCAGCAAGCATCAATGTTCCTCCTACCACCACCCGAATACTAACTAATACGACTCTACGTTATATCCAGCCCTGATGAAGCACCTGATATTATGATTACTTCGTTTCATGCTGTACTGTACTGTACAGAGTACCTACATGTGCTTTGACGCTGTCTGCACCTCCCAAGGCTTTGAAGCCCAAAAGACATGGGCTCCCTTGACTTTCCCGCCGCTCTCTCGCTAGCTTCTGGCCGGCCGTTTGCCTGAGCCCGAGATTTCCCAAGGACCTTCAAAGGGCGACGCCATGTCCACATTTAGCCGAACGCCCGTATCAGTGATCGGCGTGTCTTTGGGACGAGTTCGTTGGCCGCCATGACTCCGTGACGCTCGCAACGTCTGACTAAGAGGCACCGCCCGAAAGCCACTCGACGGACCGAAGATGATGGTCAAACGGGTGTCCTGTCGAGATTTGCGGTGTCGAGAGCTGCTCGGATTGTTGTGTTATTGTGTGTGCCCGCGACTTGATAGAGCGGTTGGCAGGCCTTGGGGACAAGGACAGGGAGGCTTCGCGATGGTCCAGCCTCCATCTACCTACCTAGTTTGCCCCTCCATCCCTCCCATCTGCCCATCCACACTGATCCTCGCTCGCCTCTTTTTTTATTTTTGAAAGAATTACTCTCCGCCCCGAGATGCACGGCATGCCGGACGCAGTCCGTGCCACCACACACTCACGCAACTCACTAACTCACTAATACACACACCACCTTTTTTTTTCGCGCTCTGCCCTCTATTTGCGGCTGGATCGCGCTCACCGCCTCGAGCGAGCGACAACGTTGCTTGGCGCCGTGGCTATTCTTTCGTGCTCTGATCTTCGTGCTCGGTAGCACGATACCTACGCTTCAGAGTCCGCAAGCCAATTGAGCATCTGGTCTTGCGCTTGTCTGCCCTCTGCATGTGGTTTGGCTCTCCTGGCCCCTCCTCTTCTCCCGCGGTATCGGTATGGTATCAATCAGCATGGGTTCCCGCAATGAGCAGCTGATGAGCCGCTCTCGAGCTGCTGGCGCCGCCGTGCGATGATGCCTGCATATCACTACGAGTACAGCAGCACTCGGTCCAGGCGCCCAGCCGGGGGAGGTTCTGGAGTCTGGACCAACTGTGAGACACCGGAGAGGGCGTCAGCTTGCCACCCTTGCGTACAATGTCTGGCACCTGCGCAAAAGCCAACCTCTTGGCTGCTTTGTCCTGTCTCAGATAAGCACCCGGACGCCTCGTCAGCCACTTGCTCGACTTTCCGATCTCGAGATTGCTATATGTTATCTATCAACCTCTGCGCGTACTCGCAACCTTGTATACCTACCTACAGCAACCCTACCTTCGAGGACCCTACCTACCTATCTCTGTACAACAGGCGGTGCTACCTGTAGTTTCTCGCTTTGACAGAGTACAGGCCTTGTGCCTTGTGCCAGGATGCATGGTGTGTACATGTATGTTGTCGGTCAGCCAATGGGGGCAGCGCTGTTTATGAGAAGGCAAAACGTAAACCAACAAGCAAAAGCCCACGCCTTCTGGGGGATGATGGTGCGAGTGCGACTACTACATACTATCAACGGCATTTGGCGAGTTTTTGATTGACTCATGTCGTGTACATACTACAGCAAGTCTTGATCCCTTTGCTGGCGTGTTCCCTGTCAAACTCGATACACGAGCCACCTCGTGGACTTTGAGATCATCCCATCATGCGAAGCTCGGAGCACAACCGCCATGATCTCTGCGGAACGAAGAAGACAGGAGAAGAGGGAGCACATCCACGCTTCAGGACTGGGGTATCTCGTTTCGACGTCACCTCGTCTACGTACCCCAGTGGCGCGATGCCACCTCACTCCCTGGCTCTGTATGTACGGACAGACAGGCAGGCCTGGTGCCGTTTGTACGTCGTCGTAGCATTTACATGCAGGCCAGAGGTAGGACTGCTGCCCCAGACGTGTAGGTGCTACAGGTCGAATACGGAGTCGTGTCACTGCTACGACATGTGCCGCAAGTGCAGGCCCTGGACGCCAACGGCCAAGCGACGATCTTCTCTGGAAGACCCTGACGGGCTTTGGCAGACAGGACCAGGCTGGGGTCAGAGTATGCATCCTAGACGATGTATCATGACCCCGAATTCTTCTCTCATCTGCCGATGAAGATCGCGTTGCAAGTCACAAGATTTGCCGGTTTGACATCCTTGGTGATGCTGCACATTAGCGTTTCAGAGAATATGTCGCTCATACTATGGACCAGCAAAGTGACGGTTGTTTCCCCTGACTTGCACCTGAAAAGTTGCTTGATACCACCTACAGCAGTGAACGGAGGTGGTGTATGGCGGTGCGCTGTTGACGGTCTCTCACCTCGACTTACACCCTTTCCATGCACGATATAACCAAAAGTTTCTAGACTCATGCATCCACAGCTGTTACTAGTCCGCTTCTTGATGCTTTTTTTTCTTTGTTTACGAGTCCCAATAGTACGTACTCGTATGTGGGCGAGGAATGATCAACGCGCCCCACTGGACTAGATGATGTTAGCGGTCTCTCCCACCCCAGCAGTGACAAACCAGAAAGAGTGAAGTGAGGCCATCGAAAGAATCACCATTGCCAGCACGAAAACGAACGTCTTCTAGTATTACCTCTGGTCCGACATCACCATGTCCTTTCCGCCCCTCTCACTTTGACCTTTGCCGACGATGGAATAGAAAAGCCGGTCTGCCAGCTCATCTAGTGCCATGCCGATCGCCGTTCATTGCAAATGGGGTTGTTTTTTTCTGCTTCTTTCTTTTCTCGAACTTCTTTTCGTTGTAATACTACTAGTACCGCGTACAAGTACCCTCTTCCCGTGAGGAGACGCCAGGCTAGCATCCTCCAAGGATCTGTCGCTGGCTTGGCGCGGTTCGAGCGGCTGTTCCATAAATATCACCACCAGACATACAATATGCCTACGTAGCGGATCCTCCCAAGGTCCGACACATGACCATGGGGACTCCCCGGGGAGTGGGCATTTCAGCGGTCGAGGCTTTTATTTTTGTTTGGCGGGTTTCTGCCCTTTTTTTCTTTGCTGGTCTGCCATTTGCCGTTTGATGTCAACTGCGGCGTCTGGCTGCTGCTGCTGCTGATGCTGATGCTGCTGATGCTGCTGCTGCTGATGCTGCTGCTGCTGATGCTCTCAAGACGCCAGCCAGTCAAAGCAATATGCCAGCCACTCCGCCAGCCAGCAACGTCAAGTCCCGGCCACACCGCTGCATCTAGAAATGCTCCGATTCATCAGTGTGCAGAGTCTCCCCCCCCTCGTGCTAAGGTATACAAGCACGATGACCGGTATATTCACGACATTGACATTGCGGCAAAGGCCCGCGGATAAGGGGGCTTCGATTGTCGGGCCGCTTCCCTCAAGCTCTCTCCATGCTTCTCGCGCCGCGCAGACTGGGAATAGCTGCACGTCTTCCATAGTTTTCTTCTCTCTCTCACTCACACTCACACACACACACTCTCTCTCTCCTCTCTCCCACTTCTACCCCCGTAAGGCACTCCCTCCCAAGCCCGGTGCGTCATACCTGCCCGTCTCGTCTTCATGCTTGCTGCCAGGCTAATGCACGAACCGCTGCATTCGCGCCAGCCAGCGCGGTGGATTGGCAGAACCCCTTTGGTGATGGACTAATCACGTCTGGCCAGAGAAGCAGCAAAAATCCTCTTATCAATTCTTCTTGCCCCCATAGTTTCCCAAAGATCCCTGGGCTTGCGGGGGATCGTCGCCACCCTTTGCGGCGCCAATCTTTATGCAGCGCCTTGGGAGGATGAGGCAAACAAGGACGAGGTAAAATACGCCACCATTTGAGAGAGGAAAAGGGGGGGTTGTTGGTTTCGGTGATGTTCTTTTATGCCGGTGGTCTTGAACTTCCGGAAGGGGGGGCGAAGATACATGCACGTATCGTACACGTAGTAGTAGTGCCTCCTGCGTGTGTTGGTAGGCAATACGGTACATGCCTCGTATGTACGAGTAAGGTACATGTAGGTAAGGTGTGGTTTGTTGGCGTTGCCTTCTTTTCTCCCCCTTGAAGGGATCTGACATTGGATAGCGAGTGGCACCTCAGAGGGTTGCAACTGCGCGTGATTGAGCCGTGAGAGTGTTGCCCTTTTCTGCATCGGCTGGAGTTTGTGACAGCTGACGGCCATAACGGCGGTGAAAGCTCATCTGCGTTCCACGAGCCGTATCTCGGATGCCATCTGTGTTCTTCGCCTCTATCTCTGGTCTTGTCTCATCGGACGCCTCCTTGGTGGTGTAGCTATCGATGTTACCTGCATACCTACCTACCCACCTACGAGTCGATAAGTCTCCCCCCACCTATGACAAGGACAAACAGCGTCGACGAGAGAGAGAGAGAGAGAGGTTGGGAACGTGGCATCTCTGCAAACGTACCGCCATGCACACTGACATAGTACAGATGGTTCTAGTAGTTCTCAGTGCGCATGTGTTGGTTGCCATGTTATCTCCCTTCGTGACGAGCTTTTGATAGACGCAAATTTAGCTCTGGACTAAAAATCAACACCCCCCCACCTCCCATCTGTGAAGCGTGATGCTGAAGACTTTTTTTTCTTTGCTTCTTTGTGCCTCGATCTCTTTCTATTCTGATATGGGGATGGTTCGTCATCGGCATTGGGCTCGATGGTCGGCATACGATGGGTTTGTTGAAGTTTTACGGGCTTCAGCTATCTTGGGAGTCTGCACTACGGAGCGGGATGATGACGGAAGATGCAAAGTACATGGATGCTGCATGATTTGGTGAGCTGCAAATGAGAGCCTCGAGGTATTCTTGGAGCTGATGTTTCTCCTGGAATATTCTGGGACTGCTGTGTGCTGTATTAATGGACTGCTTGCTGGTTGGAGCTGCTCGTCGATACTCGTTCTTACAGCAGCCTGGGGGTTTCCGTTGGTGATCATCGTACGTTGCGGGCAAGTTCAGTGGGAAAGGCGCAAGATGAAACGGCCACCTTGCCCTGGAGATATGATCAGGCTAATTGTGAAATTCGCCATCGAACTCATCCAGACGTTGCCATGTCATTGTTTTCCTTTTCTCCAAAACCCGATGATGATCAGTTGCGTTGCGTTGCGTGGTTGGGCTGTTGGGCAGTTGTTGGGTATAAGTAGGTAATATGATGCGTTGATCGAGGCGGGCAATCGTTGATCTGCATGGTAATGGACAATCGAAATTCGTCAGCTTATTACAGAATAAAATCCTTTTCTTCTTGATTGATTGCGCGAGTATTGCTTTGTTTTTTTCTTTTGCGTGATGATCGGGACGCTTGAGTTTGAGATTCCCTGTGTGTAGTAGTATTACGCGTGGCTTTGATGCTCCTGGTGAGATTGAAGCTGTGTCGTCGTCTCCACCGGCGCTTCGAGGCTTACTCAATAGCCGAACATTGCCGAAATATATGCTAGTATCTTGTGTATAACAAAGTTCTTTACAAGGAAAAAGGGGACTGAGATTATGATTATATGAGATGGGTAGGTAAAAGGATGAAAGAGTAATGGTGTGCATAATGCCTGGGTTGGACAGCTGATGGAAGATAGGAGACGGTAGATGGTAGATGGCGGATGATGGACGGGGGAGGGTCGAGGGTCGATTGTTGAGCGAGCGCTCGGTTTATTGACTTTTGGACAGCGTAGGCAGTTGTGGTCTTTCTGTCTCGTCGCGAACTTATTTGTAGAGAGCTGGATAGATACGCGGTATTTTGCTTGAAGAGCCTGTAGAAGAGATGGGTATCTGTGTCAGAGAAATGACAGGCCGCCTCGAAGAGGGACTCGTGCATGGAAGCAATTACAGCCTTGACTTCCCAGCCGGCAAAGAACCCGCGGAGATCCGAGGCTAACAGGACTTGTCACATCCCTAGATTTGAGATGTGGCATGCGTTGAAAGCATCCCAAGGAGATGGGTGTAGAGAGTTGTACATGTATGCGATCATCTAGCGTATAGACAGTCGACTCGGCCATCTCGCAGCTATAAACGCTCAGAGAACCCCTCACGGAATCGTAAGAATCGATGGGACCTGGCATTCCGGAGGATCCAAGCACGACTTCTTATGAACTGTCCATGGAGTTTTGGCAAGTCCCGTGGAGGCCGGGGCGGCATCGTTGAGGGAGGCGGACGGGATGTACCGCAGCCGAAGCGTAGGCGATTCCGGCTTACAAATGACAGAGACTTTGCCCAGTGCTCATGCTGTCTGCAATGACCTGTTGGGCTGGTTAGATATATTGTGTGAGTTGAGAGAGTTGCAGATCGGTTTCCAGAGATCTTGATGATCTGGTGTCCCCATCCGCCTCTTACGTTGTCCCTTGACCTGACAAAGATGCTGGGTTTGTCGAAGTTCGTGACTCATGGTGTTGCCTTGACCGAACAACTTTATGATTCTGTTTTACTTGAATTAGATCGGCTATTGATGGCCGCAATCGGAGCTCTTGATGCCATTGCTCAGGGGTAGGTAGCCACTTGGTGAAGCCCTCAAGGTCCATAAGAGGCGTTAGATGTTAACATCCAGCTCGTACGAGCCCATCTTAAAACTATGGAGCACGGTGACTAGCATCGATGATGTGGCTCCTAATCAAATGCAAATTATGGGTCTGATCGTGTTTAAACCAGGGCAGCTAATCAGCTGGAATTAGAATGCGTTAATACAGGGCTGGAACCACTGGACTGTGGCTTGGGATTCCGCTCAGGTGGACTTTGAGCATGTCCTAGGCTTTCGGCAGTGACTGTAGCTGGAGAGCTTCAGTCAGCTGAAAATTGAATCAAGGCAGGTCTACATTCGAAAGCATGTCGAAAGAGGCCTAAAATAAGACTTGCCTCAGTCCAGGTAATCAGGGGCTACGAGTAGAGTGAAGTCGGACGGAAACGATGGATGGTAAAAAGAGGACTCTAGCGCCAGTAAGATATGCCCAACAGGGCAACTGCAGCTATATGAGGAACAGCAGAAAGCGGCAGGCATGCTCGGACACCGAAATGTTCTAGACTTTTTCTTTCCGAGCTTTGCTGTCTGATGTCATAATCTCGATGTTTTGTTAATTCCGGTCCAGTTGTGTCAGTTAGAAGAGTAGTATGAAGAGCCTTCCTGAGCGTTTGCATCTCATATCGCCGGTCAATCTATCGTCCCAGTCTATTTCAGTCAGTGTCATCGATACCACGCATATGCAGCAGTTCGTCTCGAGAACGAGGCGGCGCCCCTTGCATCTTGAATGATTTTTGTAGTTGATCCTTCAGTGGCGCATTATGACTACCGATTCCGTTATTCCGGGACCATAGCCGGGGCCCACCATTCCGGGCACCGTCACTGCTCCCGGTCCTGCCTGCCGGACGGGCTGATTCCAGTCAATATTGACCCTTTGAACTCCAGAAAAAGGGGGGTAACCGGCCATGAGAAGCACTACAACATACTCCGAACTTCAAGCTATCAAGTTTTCATCGTCTAGCCCTGCGGAAAGCGTTGCGGCATGGCAAGTCCGGATCGCGGCTCTCGTTCACAACAAGCTTGAGCAGAATTATCCTGTTTCATTCGACTTCTGCGTCTAGCTGCTTTCCGTCTAGCCAAGTGGATCTGGAAATAACATCGCACACTAAGCCTTTTATTCCCCCCTTGCCGCCCCACTGCCATTATCTTATCGCCCGCTTATGACAGGACGCAAGCGGCAAGGCTGACGATAAGACCCTCCAGTGGAGCCAGTGCCCGTTTTATGGTTGTTTCTTTCGGGCAGCTGCGTCGCCTCTTCTTTCTCGGCTTCATCCGTGCTGGCCAATCGCGGCACTTGCAGGGCGACCCTAAAAAATCTGCGTGACGGCAGGCGGCGGTGGGGCGCCCAGCTTTGCTTTGCGTTTTGGCAGCTGCACCTCGTGGCTGTTCAGCTCCTTCCCTGGCGACTCTCGATGACGTCCGGCTTCGGCTTCGAGAATACCGGGCGAATGGACCGAGGTTAGAAGCACCCAAAAGCAGCACCTATCAGATCTCTTGTGGCATCATATCGAAGGTTCTGCAGCATGTTTTGGCCTGGATATATATATCCGGGGCACGCCACGGCTGGATGAGGATGGCATGATTCGAGCACACACACTGTTGGTGCCTTCACACACACTCTTTGGATACCGCATCCACTTACAGCAAGACCTCCTTTTGCAATTGTCGAGCCATTTCTGCATAGCCATCGTCGATCCGCCATGGCGGCATCATCATCATCAAGCTCGGCCTCGACCTTGGAGGGGCCGGCCACAGACGTGGTCAAGGAACAAGGTTCCCATTTCCAACCCAGTCGCCGAAACTCCAAGTCGGCTCCTTCGAGGCGGGGGTCGACTGCCAGCAGAACCCGCAGCCCCCAGAAAGAGACGTTCGACCCGAACCTCGACATCAACCTACCGTATCGTACGCTCACCAGCGATGCCAACTTTGACGAATTTCGCGTCGAATCGCGCACGGGCGCCATCCCGGGCCCGGTTGAGCCCCCGGCCGTTGCTGGCCAGGGAGGCGAGAAGCGATACCAGCTGGTGACCTTCACCCCTGAAGACCCAGAGAACCCCAAGAACTGGTCCAAGGCGTACAAGTGGTATTGCACCATGGTCGTTGCCCTTACGTGCTTCGTGGTGGCCTTTTGTTCAGCCGTCATCACGGCGGACCTTGTTGGGCCTGCCGAGGATTTCGGCGTCAGCAGAGAGGTTTCCATTCTGGCCATCACAGTCTTTGTCGTTGGCTTTGGTGTTGGGCCCATGGCATTCGCACCGCTGTCTGAGGTGTTCGGACGACGAGTCATCTAGTAAGTATTGGAAAACGCCATTTGAAGGAAGGGCTTGTCGCATGCTAACTCACCGGCAGTGGATCTACACTCTTGCTTGCCGTCATCTTCATCATCCCCTGTGCTGTTGCAAAGAACATCGGAACCCTGATCGTCTGCCGTGCCATCGATGGCATCGCTTTCTCGGCCCCCATGACCCTCGTGGGCGGCACGCTTGCAGACTTGTGGAGGAACGAGGAGCGTGGTGTTCCCATGGCCGCTTTTTCCGCCGCTCCCTTCATTGGACCAGCCAGTAAGTGACCCCTCTACACAGTTCTTGCACGATTGAACTCTACTGACCAAACGCGAAACAGTCGGCCCTCTTGTTGGTGGCTACCTTGCCGATGGCGCTGGCTGGCGCTGGCTGTACTGGATCCAGCTCATCCTTGCCGGCATTGTTTGGGTTCTCATCACCTTTACCGTTCCCGAAACGTACGCCCCTACAATCCTTTCTCGCCGCGCCAAGAAGCTCCGCCAGACGACGGGCGACGAGACTTACGTCACCGAGCAAGACATTGATGAGCGGCCCATGAGCGAGCGGCTCACCGTCTTCATGATCCGACCCTTCCAGCTGCTGTTCCGGGAACTTATTGTGCTTCTCATCTCGCTGTACATGAGCGTTCTCTACGGTCTGCTCTACATGTTCTTCGTTGCGTATCCCATCGTCTTCCAGGAGGGTAAGGGCTGGAGCGCCGGCACCACTGGTCTGATGTTCATCCCCCTGGCCGTTGGCGTTCTCTGCTCTGCTGCTTGCTCTCCGATGGTCAATAAGCACTACCTCAAGATGGTTCACAAGTACAACGGCAAACCACCCGCGGAGATTCGCCTGATCCCCATGATGATCTCCTGCTGGTGCATTCCCATCGGATTGTTCATCTTCGCCTGGACCTCGTATCCGCGGCTCATCTGGGTCGGACCGGCCCTAGGCGGCTTCCCCGTCGGGTTCGGCTTCATCTTCCTTTACAACTCTGCAAACAACTACCTAGTCGACTCCTACCAGCACCAAGCCGCCTCTGCCCTTGCGGCCAAGACCTGCATCCGAAGCTTCTGGGGCGCCGGCGTGGTCTTGTTCACCGAGCAGATGTACGCGCGGCTGGGCTACCAGTGGGCCTCTTCGCTTCTGGCCTTTATCAGCCTGGCTTGCTGCGCCATTCCCTACTGCTTCTGGATCTGGGGCGCCAAGATCCGCGCTCGCAGCAAGTATGCCTACGGCGGCGATGATGAGGAGGTGGAAACGAGTCAGAACCCCAATGACCTGGAAAAGGCTCAAAGGGTTCCCACTCATGGTGCCGCTCCTCGAGACGATACGGACGATGATCTCGACCTGAGGCGGGCGAGGAGCTACGTCAGCAACCCATAAGTTGGCAAGCGGATGAAGAAGCTTTTGCGAGACGCCAACAAACAACTTGGACTACACTGACCAAACCGACTGGTCAAAAATTACACATAGAGGTGGAACATTCTATAGACTGATGATGTTTCGACGATTGATTGATGGAGTATGAATTTTAGCATTGAACGGCGTTCAAAAAAGGGCTGGATATACCTGGGCGAGTATAAGGGTGGCATTGGGTATAGACAAGATATAATACATAATAATGATCTTTTAATTGCAATTGTATTTCCTAGTTCCCAAAACGATGACTTCGTCGCCAAGTATCTAAATGTCTTACGTTCGACTACCTATTGCTCGTTCCGTGTACTTGCAACATTAGTACACAGTAAAAGCAGGCTGATATCACGATCGTGACTGTAATAGTTCCAGCTCTGTCGATCAACTGATAGATCTCGCCGATCGGCCCCATTGCCGAGCTGGAGCCACTTCTCGATGCAAGACAGAGCTTCCGGGTCTTCTCCCAAGACCCACCGTGGCAACGATGACGATGTCGATGAACTCCGTCACATGATATCAAGAGCAAGGTAAACAAACAACACAACGATGGGTATGTATACGAAAGCAAGATATATATAGAAAGAATCAAGTGTCCCGTACAACCTCATAAATCGTCATCTGGGCGGACAGGGGCATAAGTGGCCACGACTGGCTGAGCCTTTGCGATTACGGTGGTCGCAGGTTCTGCTGGTACCAGCATGGATGACGCCCTACGGTTGCGGCGGAAGAAGTAACTGATCAAATTGCATTAGCATAGATGTCCATTATAAGAGGACTTGTTGAAGACTGTGGTTGCTACTAGACTTACATGAATGCCCCTATGGCTGCGAGGAGAGCAGGGACGCCGAGGCCGACGCTGACGCCGATGATGACGGCGTTGCTAACGCGGTGTGACCCGGACTTTCCCTCCGCCGAAGCGTCGTCGTCTCCTGGCGAAGAGGATCCTGAAGGCAAGGATGTGCTTGTCTGTGGGGGCGGAGGCGGAGTGTAGGTCTTTGGTTTTCCGGATGAGCTCGTCATTGTCACGGCGTTGTCCTTGAAGGCCACCGTGTTGAAGACGGAGGCGGCGGTTGCCGTGGACCAGACGACAGACACGCCGGGCGTGATTGTCGAGGTGAGCGTCTTTGTGATGACGTTTCTCGTTACGGTTTGCAGCGAGGCCGGGCAGTTGATGAGGCCGGGAGAGGCGCAGACTGTGGCGACTTGGGTTTCGGACGTGACTTTGCGCGTGACGGAGGGAGTGTCTGCACGCTTGTTCTTGGGGTTAGCGGCGGATGAGGGAGGAGAGGTGGTGGTTGTCGTCGTTGTGGCTGAGATGGTTGCGGTCGAGGATGTGCTGGTGAGGGCGCAGACTTGTGCGAGAGTGGTGTAGAAGATGGGAATCTCCGTCTCGGGCGAAGGGCCCCATGTGTTGCCGATGAGCTCGACGGTTGCTCCGGCCGCGGCGCCGATGCCGAAGGTGAAGGCTTGGGCCATGCTCAGCAGACAATTGTCTGTGCTGTTGTTGTTGCCATCGTCATTGTCGTCGTCGTCGTCGTCTCTCTTTGTGGGGACGTCGACTTCGGCGAGGGTAATGTTTGTGACGAACTCGGCAATGTTGGCGTAGACGCGGGCTTCCACGCCGGCGCCAATCTTGAGGGCCTTGAGGCCTACTGCGTCGATGGAGATGCCGTCGATGAAGGTCTCAAAGGCGATGCCGATGCGGGCCTCGACGCGGAGGATGGCTTTGAGGAGCACGTTGCCGTAGCGGATCTTTACGGGGAGGAATGCGAGCCTACCACCGTCACTGCAGTTGATACTCTGTTAGAAATGTAATTTCTTTTTGTGACGCGGGGATAAAAGGAGAGGTGGTTAAGGGTGAAAGACTGACAAGTCAATTTTGGAGGCTTCTTTGCCAAAGAGAGTGATATGGGTCAGGACATTGTCGAAGTGGACGTGGAAGCCACTGCTAATGTCGAGTTTGCCGTCGACGCTGAAGATGAGGTCGATGGAGAAGACGGCGCCGAGGAGGAGGTCGTCTCCGAGGGCGATGCCCACGATCGTCTCACTTTGGTAGAGGTTGAAGGTGTAAGTGATGCCCGCCGAGAGAACCGTGTCAAGCTCCATGTAAATCTCCAGGTCCGTCAAATTCACGCCGACATTGTACTCTGGGAACAAGAGATTGAGGTTCATGTCAAGGTCCGGAGGATCAATGTCCTTGACATCGGCGACGAGCTCGTCAAAGTCAAGGTGCTTGATGTCGGATCCGATTTCGCCGAGGATGGTGTGCGTGAGGTTCTGGGCATAGTCTGTGAGGTTGTGCCATGTGGTTTCAAAGTTGTCTTTTGCCTTGTCGATGGCCGAGGTGATGTTGAAGGAGCCGTTGGCCGTGAGCTTTGCGCTGGCGCGGCCTTTGATGTAGCATTTTGTGCAGATGATGGAGATGCTTGCTGATACGCCGTCGTCAGAGGCGTCTTCAAAGGGGCTTACACATTTGTTAGAATGACTGCTGTTTGAGAGAAGTGGTGGGGAGTTGTGGTTCAACTCACTACTTGAAGATGGTTGTGCCGTCGAGGCCGAGGGAAAAGGACGTCGAGTTGTCGAATATGACATCTGTCCCGGCTCTCTTGACTCTATTGGCAAGACGTCTTCGGACCTCGTATACCGTCTCGTCGGAGGACTTTCCAGGGAGATTCCTCACAACTAGGTCTGAAGATGTGACGTAGGCAGGCAACACAAAGAGCCAGCTGAGAAAGAGAAGCAATTTCCACGCCATCGTGTACTGTTGACTGAGTCGATTGACGCGCACCACTCTATTACATGTCACTCAAGAAGACTCGAGCTGCCTGCTAAATCAACACACAAGCTTCAACCACACGAGGCGCCATCTCTGATTCTTAAGAGAAGAGCTGACAGGCAAATCCTAGATCTGTCAGAAATTGAAACAAGCATTCCATCGACAACCCCCGTCTTGCTGCGCCAAGAGCGCCTTCGTGGGTTTGCGGCTCTTTGACATGGGGGCCTCGGTTACAGAAAATCTGCATCATGTACGTGTATGTGCGCTGGTCTAGGTGTGGAGGAGTAGGTCACAAATATAGAAATCCGCACACAGCGACAGGGGGGGTAATCAGTGAGTTGGTGAGAAAGTAGACAGACAGGAACGGAACAAGAGATCATACACAGTGGGAGACGAGAGGAGAGAGAGAGGGGGAGAGGAAGGGAAAAAGAAGGCGAGGGCTGGGGCCAACGCCATGTTGCAGCTGGCAGGGGTCTTCCATGCTGTTGGGTGCTTGAGCTGTTTCAACCGCCTGCTGCGGAGGTGCTTCTGCAGATGATATGCTTTGTCTCTTTTGTCTGTGATGCTTCGTGAGGAGGCTGCAGGGGATGAAACCGCTTGTGGCTTTTTTTCTGATTTTTCCTTTGCTGGGTCTGGGCCAATGGGCCTCGTTTACGTGTGTTTGCTGCGACCAGCCGCCGGCCGCTTCGCAAGTCTCAGGATAACCGCATTCATGTTTGCATGTGCGCTCTTTTCTTGCGGTCAAGCACTGTTACTTGTCGCTGTAATTAGTTGTCAATATTCATTCTGTGAACGGAAATGCCGCGGAACTGAAAAAATCGCCGTCGGAAAAGGATTTCAAGGCCAATTGGCCCGGTCAGATATGTTCTAGATAGACAGTTGGTGCGAATTGACGAGGATACACGTATGGATACGTGTATGATGGTGTTGTGGCTGTGTCGGTGGGTGTGAGTTGGAGCTGGGCTTCCTGTCTTGCTACCTACAAGGTCGCATGTGCCTTGCATGGCCCTGGACATGTAAATAAGGCGCACTCTTACAGGGTCCAGCCAGTCCAGCCCTTCAGAGAAAATAGATAGGATAGCTGCTGCGAGTTCGACTGCTCCACATAGGTAGGTAGGATCAGACTAACGGCTCACCAACAAACATGCATCTTCTTGCGTAAAGATAGGCATCATCGGCCTGTGTCTGTGGGAGCATGAGAGATTGTCTTGTCTATACCTAAGCTAGGACGGTGAAGCCTTGCGTAGAAAGGTAGCTACGTGTATTCTAGCATTGTTGACAGGGATTGATCATCTTCTTGCATCAAGTGCCATGTGCTGATGATTGCTCAGAGGAAGTGGACGTGCATGAAGACGGAGGTGCGGGTAAGACTGGGGTTGCAGTGAGATAGGTTTTCCGTCGAGGCTGAGAGGTGATGCGTAGGATATCCGTTTCAGCCGCATGGCTCTGAGTCTGACAACTAACTCTCTTCGTCCGGGGTACAAGAGACTATACAATGCCCCGTTTCTCGAAGAAGTCTCTTCAATTTATTCATCATGTTGAGAGCAGAGTTGTCAAGCATGTTTCTCCAGACTATCAAGTGTGAATCCAATTCGCCAGACCTATGAAGAACAGAAGAGCACGAGACTTTCTATAGTACCTTTGCCGAGGGCAGTATCGCTACGGGTCCCTCTACAGACTCGGCAGAAACAATAGCAGCAGGTCGGGTTCTAGTTGCACCGTTTCATAGGAAGAGGTGGGCTCGGATGCATCAACAATAAGCACTACTTATGTTTGATAGAATCCTACGGAGTAGTTGCCGAAACCAAGTCCCGCGGAACCACATAGACTTGTGTCGACTCTCCTGACTCAACGCTTCTCCCACATGAGGCCGATAGGCTCAACTCACAAGCTGACACATGACTGCAAGGATACTAACAATAGCCATGTGGCTTTGCAGAAACAACTCGATAGATTTGACTTGCTAAGATACGTGGGATCCTCGATTTTCTACAACTGGAATACATCACTCCAGCTCTTCAGGGCTACGTCCAAAACGGACCGAATGTCGCTCGCTCCGGCATTGACCTTCCTGGTAGAAGTCTGCTGTCCCCATTTTGTCTCCCAGACAAGAAGCTTCTCGTGAAAGGCAGTCTGGTTGTAGTTTGCGGGCTTTGTGGTGGCGAGGTAGTCGACAAACTGCTGCCACCGCTCGGCGTAGTACGTGCCCACAAGGCCAGCCCACTGCTTCGACGCATAGTCTTCGATCTGGCCCTGAGGTCCCCATAGCGTGATCTGGTTGCGGGCGTTGAACTCGAAAAAGTTGGCCGATGAGGGACTGCTTGCGCGGGCTCGGTCGATCCAGGGGGTCAGCTGAAAGTTTTTGTTTGTAGCCAGGACGGCGTCGAGCGTCTTGAGCAGGGTCACGAGCTTGGCGCCGCGAGTGCGGATCACGGTGGGACTTGATGACTTGTTGTATGCGTCAACAAGGTCCTTGTAGTGGTCCTCGAAGCTGTTGACGAGGACCTGGCGCGTCCAGTCAACGAGATCATACTGATAAGAGGGGTTGTTGAACAGTGTGAGGTCCTGGAGGCCAGCCTTGAACAACTCGCTCCAAGCTTCGACCATCACCGCTGGATCATACATGATCGTAGTGCCGTGGCGGCCGGTACGACCAAGCAGGCCGCTGATACTCGGCGTCAGCTCCAAGATGGACTTTTGCACCGCGTTCACCGTCAGGTTGGTGTTGTTAAAGACCGTGGGTCGCAGCATCTCCCATCCCTTGTACAGGCCTTTGACGTTCTTGGCGCCGTATCTGGCCGACACCCAGTCATGGAAGTACGTGTCGGTGTCGATGGGCTTGGGGCTCCAAGCCTGATCCAGCAGCAGGTCGTACATGATCTCGTTGCCTTCCTGGCCTTCCATGGTCAAGCCAAAGCCAACGATGGAGTCAGAGTTGCGCACGGCATCCATCGAGTTGATGGTGACATTTTCGATCTGGCCGTACAGGCCCATGTTGCCGCCATAGTTGTGCAGCTCACACCAGATCCAAGGCTTTCCGTAAAACGAATCCGTCCGCTGCCACTGAGGAGCAGACTCGGCGAACAGATCGAGCAGAAGCATATCCTGGTTCACAGGGACCCCGCCGAGGAGAGCCTCGACGCGGTCGTTTGTCCAGAAGCTGCTGTCGCTGGAGAAGAGCCAGGCCTGCATGACCCAGACCGCCTCGGGGTCCGCAGCCTTGAGGGCGGCCCAGGTGTTGTGGCTGACGTTGCGCAGGTAATCCAAGTCACCAGACAGCGGCCTGTTTTCGTTGAACTGATCCAGAGTCCAGAAGTTGGTGACGTTGCCGTACAGCTCTTGCTGCTTGTTGATGAAGAGCTTCTGCAGCTGAGCGAAGCGCGGGTCAAACGGATTGATGTAAATGTCTGCGCTCAGCGTGGTGCCAAAGTTGGACCAGATGGGGCTTGTCGACAGCGAAATGTCGGGGAACACGCGGGAGATGTTGCGCGGGACAAAACCCGGGAATGCCGGCAGGATAGGCGTGATGCCGAGCTCCTCCATGCGCTTGAGGATCTTGAGCTGCAGGCTGAACTGCTCGTCGACCCAGGATCGAGGCAGGGTGCCGCCCCATGAGCCTTGGATGTTGCCAAAGTGATTCCACGCCAGGAACGCGGGTCCGCTGATGAAGGAGTCGATCTCTTCGTCGTTCAGGCCGATCTCGTGAAAGGCGTCAATGAAGATCTTTTCGACGCCGATCCAGGCGAGAGCCAGGTTGACGCCGCGGAGTGCCATCCAGTCCAGCTGGGTCTCCCAGTCCTCCCATGTCCAGAAGGCACTCGTGTAAGAGGTTGTCACTATGAGAGTATCGATATTAGTGTCTGCATAGATAAGACACGACCGCTCCCTTGTGCAACTGAGCTTACCAGTGTTCCAGTAGTAGCGATAAGGCACGACACTGGAGCCCTTGATGGGGGCCCTGAGCTTAGGGAGGTTCTTCGGGGTCTGGTCAAGCTGGCTTCCTATGAACCACCAGATATCGGCGTTTGCCTCGCTGGACAAGTACTTGTGAAGACTTTCGGGAGACACATCAGCATCATGGCTCGGGCTAGTGCTGCAAATAGGCCAAACTCACCCTGACAGCAGGGCACTGGTTGTCGTGCCCTCAATCCGGACCTTTCCGTTCTTCGTCGAGGACACAGTGTAGCTGTCATTGACCACGACAGAGCCATGCGGCGGCTCAAGCACAAACTCGAATGAGTCTACATGCTGTGGGAGCCGGCGCTTGACGAGAGACTCAACACCTTCCGTTGGCGACTGGTAGCTGGATGCAGCAACACCAACGGCTGAGAGCAGCCAGACACAGGACTTGAGGACACGCATCGCGGATGTGCGGGCTGCTGCTGCTCGTGGTCTCAAACGGAGTCAATTGCGTCTCCTAGGAGGAAGAGAGAAGCCCGGAGACCTGCAGCAAGTGCGCTGCCTGAACGCTTAAATAAGGTCTGAGCTCTTGTACGAGTCTTGGCTGAGCGCTTATCGTATGCAGTCACTCGTAGAAGCAGAACGCGAGGATGAATATCATCGCCCCATGAGCTAGCCTTGCGTGTGGGGGTTCGCAGGGCCATTCTGCAAGACTGGAGCGTTGAAACGACAACCACGTGGGATCGCGAAGACGTCAAATGGACAAGGGTTAAGGAAAGCCGGCAAGGGTTGCTGGGGAGACGGGTTCGGCACTTGGCCGTGGGATTAGGCTCGTCCACTTGAAGTTGACGGTTACACGATGCGGAGGATTGGAACTAGATCTGGTGGGATTGAGGGGAATGTTACACTGCTCTCTTTATTGGGCTTGATTTGGTGAGATAGAGTTATAAAGTAAGTGATGACTTCAAGATGCCTGAAGGTTTGACAGCCGTTTGCTGCTTACAGCTGACGTCGTTATAGGCTGGGGTTATGCGGTCCGGAAGCCGAGGAGACAGTCGACAGCATCGGCAATTATACTTCCAGGCTCACTCATCACCATGACCTATCTTGCCTGGGCATCAGCACTATCACAAGAGAGGTAATGACATATCTACGTAACGAAGGAGTCTACCCCAAGACGCAACGTTTCGAGACTCCTCTTCTCCGCAGGTCCAATGAGATAAGAGATCTCCACAACGTTTCCGGGTACCTGGCTTAGCTCAGGGTTGCAATGTGGCGTGAGCCTTTTCTCTCGGTTCCTGACCTGCCGAAGCTGGCGTGGCTAGAATGGAAGGGTTTGAGGATGACAGATCGAGACTAAACTTAAGATATTTGATCAATCATCTAGACAGCTGTGGCTGAGTGGTGGATCCTGGAGATAACAATGAGCACTTGAGTTGTTGAGCCGCGCGCTGGACTACGTGGTCTCATTTACAAGGAGTAAGTCATAGGACCTACCAAGTAGCCGGCCCAAGAAGGTGGCCACCCCTTGGTATTGACCTAGAAGGTGGCCATCTTTGACCTAGAAGGTGGCCATCTTTGACTTGAAAGTGACTGGCGGCCACGTTGTTAGAGGTGGCCACTTAGGAGGTCCTCTAACTTATGCAATCATGCATCTGATGGCCTGTTGGGGGTTCATCAATGAATATAACTGGTTCCCAGCATGAAGAGGAAATTCTTCTAGGAAGCTACAGATACCGTAGATGAGAAGCCTGAGAGGTTCAGGCGACCCAACATTCAAGCCCACATGATCGACTCGGCACTAGAGATAGAGAGACAAAGACGGATGGGCCTTCTTCCTTTGATCTCTCAAAGAAGTTGAAGCTAATGTCAGAGCACTTTTGCATAGTTAGTTTAAAGAGATATCACATCACGGTAAGGTTACAACGTTATGTCATCAAGGCAAAGCTCACGAAAGTAATACCATATTCTCAAGCCGGAAAATTCCCTACACTTACGCATAATGCTCTTTCACAATCTTGCCCCATTTAACATGTAGTCCTTCATCTCACTTATGAATGGAAAATGTCTGCCGCGACGTCTCCAAATGCTGTGCCAAATCCCCTCCAACCGGATGTTGCTGCCCTCAAGGCAACCCACCGGGGCTCTGCAGAAGACGGCAGGAAGTTGATCAATCTGATATTATGTTGCGTCGATCAGTTGGGCTGCTCTACCTCACATACGGCAGAGAATATTTCCATTCTCACCCCCACCGGTGCACGTATCAACTCATACCATAAGGTAGGCATTGACACATACCTAGGTACATATGCACATTTACCTGTGAAGTGTATGAAGCTTGAAATAAAAACTACCTACCTACTTTTAAGAACTGCATGATTGAACGGCTCGCGTATATGTACGCCTTAAGCGACTGTAACTCTGGTGACGCAAAGCAGCCAACGGCATCACTCCCAAGGCCTAACCTTACGATTAGCCACGTCACCATGAGGGTTCACCTCAAGCAGAAACGTGCATGAGTGTGTGTTAGAGCGGGTAAGGAGGCTATGAGGACAAAAATGGGGGCACTCAGGAGGATGTGATGATGGACACCAGCATGTGGTGGATGAGAGCGAAAGCTCACTACGGAAACTCGGAGAAATTGTAGACTATTTCCTCAGCATCAAATGCATGAAAATAGTCAAATGCCCATTGCATGACTCTGACCTGTTGTTCAAGGTCCGCGAATAGCCCAAGACAAGGCTGCTGGCGAGACGCCGTCCGCCTCACGGCTCTTGTCACTAATACAAGGCAGACCAACGTGGGAACTTCTAAGAGAACCCCCAGACGCAAAATTATTCCTTGGTAGCCGTGCATTCTACCAGTGTGATTCATACAAGAATGCAAGTTACATATATATCGGGGTTGAGAGAGTGGAATTCTGATTTCTGGAGCAATAGAACAGCAGTGCCAGCTCGAGGGTCTTAGATTCTCGTTGTTGCTACCGGGTTCAACCAACCCTTGCTAGAAGATATAGCATGTAAAGATATCCAAACGGCCCTCTCAAATTAGTGCAGCTTTGCACGCATCTAATAGTCAAGTTTGATAGGTACAGGAGAAGATTGGCTTACTCTGGGGGCTCATATTCTACACAAGAGACGAACAGTCTCAAATTGCCCTGCTTTAGGCATCCACCCGCTGCTAGAGCATGTGAGAAATGACTCTGGCCGAAAGACCAGTTTCCTTGATTATGGTTTCCAGTATTGTACATCTCATCTCACCCACTTGGTATCGTCATTTATCATTTCCAGCCTATGTTTACAATCCGCTCCAGGGTTCGGAACCCATCGTGAGCGTATCCCTTGGTGACGTCGACTTTGTACTGCTTCCCATCCACCCTAATAATGCCATATCCCACATCCGTCCATGCCGCTCTTACGCCCTTGAACAGGTTCATGAATGCGCGGCCAATCCTGCGGAAGGGCATGGTGAGGAGGTGCTCCGTGTCAAACTTCCACAAGGCCTTCTTCCGCGCCTCTTCTTCCATTTGCTTCTCCAGTCGTCTCAGCTCTGGTACGTATTCGCTCGGAAGTGAGAAGCGGGTCTTGAGCGTGACGTTGTCGAGACTTGTAGTGATGACCTTGGGCTGAAGCAAGGGGAACATTCGCTTGACCCTCACTTCAAGCTGGGGCAGGTTGGCGGCAATCCCCGGTCGTGCGGCTGTTTGACCTGCTGCCTGACCAGCTGTTTGGACGGGTGGCAGCACTCGAATACTGCTGACAATGTTGGGAGTCTTTGAGATGAGATAGAAGCCCATGGCGCCGAGCAGGGCGTAAGACGCTGCAAATGTATATCCAACCCACACCGGAATGCCTTCTGGTTGTTGCACAGCCGTTGGGCCCGTCAACACCGTCCAGGCCAGTATAGAGAGACCACTCGACCAGCAGCCAAAGTAGAACCAGAAATGCGAAGGCGCCTCATATAGAAGTGTCGGTGTGGGCTTCGATGCCAGGCTCTTGACAAAGGCATATCGGGTAGGGGCCAATGAAGCCGCCGGTGAGGGGGGAGTCGCTTGGCCGGCTGGTGACTTCGGTTTGACGTCTTTCGGTACTTTGGCTTGGGGTTTTAGTGTTGTAGGAGCCCGCAGTCTGAGGGATGATGTGAAGGGTCGAGATTGAGCGGTGGAGAGATCGGGCAGAAAACTTCGGGGAATGAAGGTCGCTCGAGGACATAAGGCGAGGCGAAAGCCTCTTGCGAAGCTCGCCATGGTTCAACGACAGCAATGAGCGCAGCCCAGCTGGAGAAACGATGCGAGAAAGGGTCGAGTATGGGGGAAATCAATTGAATGTCATGAAATAGCTGCCATCACGTGCAAGGCAGCAGTCGGTCGATGTGGTGAAGCTATCGCGAGCATCAATCCATGCACTTACAGCTCTGGTGGAAAATGTTGAACTGGATCAGCCGATCCGATAGCTGCCGAACTCTTATCGGCGATTCTGCGCTAAGATAGAGAGTTAGCGCTGTACCTAGCCCAAAGGCTGATGCTGTATGGCTGCTCAAGTCCTTGGAAAACAGCGCATACTCCACCGGTTCGATTGACGAATCTCTGTAGATGAAGTCGGCGTCTGAGCCTATCATGAAAGCTTTCACTGAAAAACTGAAAAACTGCAGATAAATGAATTTTCAAAAATTGTTGCTCTGTATATGTAGGACTACAAGAGTTCGTATATGTGAAGCCACTGCCCGAATTGCAACTGCCAGGGCCTGTGAAGTCCTGCATATCAAGTCCCGAGTCGCCAAACAGGTACAATGCGAAGTACGCGGGAGCCTGTACATTTTCACCCCACCAAAAAAAGTTACGTGGTCTGTGCGCGCCTCGCCCAGGGCCGATATTCCCAACAGCAAAGCAAAGAAAGGTCTCATCCTGCCCAGCAATCTGAGCCTCTTTTGCCCGCGCATCACCACCCGAATCCCGCCTTTGCCTCAATTGAGCTCCAATGGCTTCGTTTGCGGCGGCGTGCCGCATCTCGGCCCGCCTTGCAAGCGGAAGAGCTGCTCGTGGTATGTCTCCCGTGTGCTGCGGCGCGCAAACCCGCCGCACCAAAGAAGCGATACGACACAGAGAGATGGAGAGAGATGGAGAGAGATGGGATGGTCCAAGGAGACGCAGACTCGATGATGATGAAGGGGACACAGCTAATCCGTTGCAATGATACTCACAGGCTTCACCACGTCGTCACGATGCCTCGCAGCCCAGAACTTCGTCATGCCCGCCCTCTCCCCCACCATGACGGAGGGCAACATCGCCAGCTGGAAGGTTAAAGAGGGCGACTCCTTCAGCGCCGGCGACGTCCTGCTCGAGATCGAAACAGACAAGGCCACCATGGACGTCGAGGCCCAGGAAGACGGCGTCGTGATGAAGATTTTCTCCCAGGATGGCAGCAAGGGCGTCCAGGTGGGCACCCGAATCGCCGTCTTGGCCGAAGCCGGAGATGATATCAGCGCCCTGGAGCTCCCCGCGGACGAGCAGCCCAAGCAGGCAGCCCAGAGCACTTCAGAACCCGCCGCCCCGGCTCCGCGAGAAGAGCCAAAGGCTGCGTCCAAGCCTGCTGCCAAATCAGAAGTCGCTGCTAGCGGAACCTACGACCACAGCTACCCACTGCTTCCCTCAGTTGGCCTTCTTGTACATGAGCATGGCATCAGCAAGGAGGACCTGAGCAAGATCAAGGGCACTGGACCCAACGGACGACTGCTCAAGGGCGATGTGCTGGCCTTTGTTGGCGCCATCGACGCTGAGCGGCCCGCCGCGGTGTCTTCTCGTCTCAGCAAGCTGGCTCACCTGGACCTGAGCAACATCAAGGTGGCCGAGAAGAAGGCTGCCCCGGCCCCCAAGGCGCCCGAAGCCGCCGCCTCCAAAGCCACTGAAGCTGCGCCCAAGCCAGAAAAGGTCCTCGTCCAACTACCCGTCTCGCTGGAACACGTCGAAGAGCTGCAACGACGGCTGCAGAATTCCGCCGACGTCTCCGTCCCAATAGCCAAGTTTGTGTCCAAAGCCACTGCATTTGCAAACAGCCGTCTACCTGCCATTCCTCGTGCTCCAACCACGAGCGAGCTCTTTGACGAGGTCCTTGGTCTGGACAAGGCCAAGGCCACCAAATTCTCTCAAGGATCCTATGTTCCTACAATAGCCGATGACTTCGCTGCTCCTCGGCGAACATCTGCCTCAAAGACTGACATTATTGACCTCTTGACCGGACCTGCTAGGAAGTCCAGCTCTTCTCCAACCCGACGGCCTGCCCCTAGGATCGATGCTAGAGCAGCTCCTGGTGGAACCCACTTGTTCGGTGTGCTGGTCCCCAAGGAAGAAAAGGCCAGGGCCCAGCTGTTTTTAGAGCGCTTCAAGCTCGCCCTGGAGGAGGTGCCTGAGACATTGATATGAATTTGAAACCCTTTCTTGTCAGCTGAATTGTAATTATAATCTTTCCCCCCCAAAACTAGACTTTCAATTATTACTTGAACACCGCCATCTTTACCACCATGTCATTCCTGCTTGTTTCATGGATCTGGCTTGTTTCCGGGGAAGACGGGAACGGGGTGCGGCTGATGTCCCCGAAGCGGTTGAACTCTGCTCTATACACACCCAGACTGGCCTTGAGGCAGAGGGAGACAAGGTGATACCTTTTCGATCAGTGTGTGGCAAGGGAGGAGTATGATATCACTGCCGGCGACTATTCTGACATATCGAGGACAGACATCAGTGGCGGGACCCGGTACGCCGTCTGGGATCGAAGAATAACTGCGGCTCGGCGTCAAACGCGAACACTGACGGGTGAGAGTTGGGCAGACTCGCCATTGCTCGGTAAGCAAGGATACCGCTACTTCTCTCATGCTTGTCTCTCTTTTGCTGCCGTTGCTTCCATTTCCTGGTGCTGCGAGTGAGCGGCGGTTGTCCGACTGGCTCGGTTTCCTGAGTCAAAGCCACACGCCATGAGACAACTGCTTGTGCGGGACAGGGATGGCTTGTCTCATGCATATGCCCTCTCTGCCCCCCCAAATCGCTCGTTTTCCTGGACCAATACCCAAATGCCCAAGACTTTCAGTGTCCGCCTTTGCTACCACTGCCATCACTCGTCCTGCTGCTTTTCCCAAGTGCGTCTGACAACAACCCACTGCATTGTCCCATGATCCCTGACGTCGTTCCGCAGCGGAGAGATTGGCGGCCGTTTCTCAGCCCGAGATGTTTCCAACGTCTTCCAACCCAGCCGTAAGGTAGGATTTGCTTCCCATGGCGCTAACGCCTCGCATGCTAACCGCGAAATGGCTGCAGCAACGGCAAGCCTCGACGCTGGGACTCGATCCCCTTTCAAGCCGACCACCACACCACTGCTTGGTTCGATGCAAGGGTGATCAGGCACGTGGACACTCGCGGTGATGGCCGCATCCTGGAAACGTCGAATAACACGCCCGAGGCCGTGGTTGTTCTCTTGCCATCATCCCATAGCGCGGCAGCCGGACCCCGAGTATCTACACCGGCTGTAGCTTGCTGCCCCGTCATTGGACCCAGGGGGCCGGCGGGGTCGCTCGGTGAATGTAGCATGGATGATATGCATCAGGTACGAAGTACGTGGCGCAAGGGTTGCTCTAAGCCGTCGGGCTCTCAACGTTTATGCGGGCGCTAGTCCTTGGTCTAGACTTGCGCCGGCATCGATCTTGGACCCTCGACCGCCTCGATGGCCATCGGATTGCAAGCTACCGGGACTGCTCTCCAGAACGGCATGCGAGGGGGCGTCATTTGCTTTCAGACGTGTCGACGCAGGCTCATCCAGAAGCATGTGACCTGGCTCAAAGAAGCATCTATGCTGCGAATCCGACGTCAAGGAGTCGGGTCACAATGGTTGGGGGCAGCGAAGCATGAGCTGTTGTCACATCACGCTCGACAAGTGGGCACGAACCCTTTCAGGGACTCGGCTGTACCGCCTGTCTGTCTGTGAAGCTCAGACATTGCTGATCCCAGTTCGCCGAACGAAAGACCCCTGTTCCAGTCGCTCTATCTCACGATACTCTCAGTCACTGCACACGAAGCTGTGAATATCGGCACGATCAATAGCACTGCAGCATCAACATCGATGCGAGTACACGGGCCGGTAACAGTTACCCTCCCGGAGCTTGTCAACCTTGAACTCCTTTCGTCATTCTGACGCTCTGGCACGTCTCGAATCGCGGGCGGATCTTGTCTTACTCGAATATCCTGGAAATTTCACCTGTGGCTACAGAACAATCATGAGAGGACGGAGGATATGTTGTGTACCCCGAGTCTCAGCCCCCCCGGAATTCACTTCTCCTCGCCCTTTCGAACCAACGCCCACACACGTCAGCTCCAACACGCACAATCTAAAAGAGGGAGAGGGGAAAATAAAAATATGCACAAGGCTGCGATGCCCAACTATGCACCTCTCATCGCTTGGCCTCTTAGACTGACAGCAAGCGCTCCACTTCTCGATGGCCCGTCCACAATTGCGCTTACACGAGGCCTCCCAGTATTCTTTCAGGGCAGATACTGTGAAGGTCCATGTTGTTTTCGGGTGGATTGCGCAAGAGATCCCGCGTGTTATCCCGGGGCCGTGGACAAGGAGAGACAGTGCTACTACACCTCTTAGCTCTCGGCCCCGATCCCTATTCTTCCCCTTCTGTTTCTGTCTCTCTCTTTGTATGTCCTTGCTGCACTCCTTCTGGGGACATACAGTATTTCGTGGTCATCGACCCCCATCCAAGCTGAATCTACCAGCGCTGTTGGTTTTTGGTACCCCCAATGATCATCCCTTAGTGCCAAGTCGAGCTCAACCTCCTTTTCCTTGGAATCCCTGGAAGATGGAGGATGTGAAGTTTGCGGATTCGGAGAGCACGGCCAAGATTTCTGCTTCCAATCTCGGACGTTGAAGGGTGTATTCTGCGTCTTTCGATAGATATGCTCTGTGCATGAGACCTTCTCGTTCTTTCTCTCGGCTCGAGGGGACGACGACGGCCAATCCCAGGTCTATTTCTGTATGTATGTATGTATAACGGACGATGACCAACGCTAACAGTCCGACGGCAGCTCGAATACCCTTATCATTCCACGATGTTTCAGCTGCCAATAAAGCTTCGCCGAAGGGTCGCCTTCGCCTAGGGTGCTTAAATGACATGCGCGGCAGCAGAGTCGCACTGTTCCATAGGCCCCATGCTGAATTGGGGCGCATCGAACTGATGCTATACATACATACACATACAGCTGCAAAGCGGTCTGAGATGGTGAAGGAGCCAGTCTCCACCCCTCGACGCGCGCTGGGTGCAAGCCCAACTGGGCGTCAAGCTCCTAACGCGGACGGAGACGGTAGGCTCGCCTATTTCCAACGAGAAGCTACGTTGCTCATCAGTGCTACTTGCGGCGAGGCTCAGCCAGAGGACATGCCAACTGCAGATGCCAGGGACTACAGAGCCGAGCCCGTCATTGACGCCACCAATTGCCAGATTCAGGTCCTATGCAAAACCCTCCACCAGTCCTCGTCATTCGTCCGTCTGGTATATGCCGCGGCTGCCAGACTCGAGAAAGACTCGAGAAAGAGAATATGCAAAGAGAGGGAGATGGAAAGAGAAAGACTTCCACTACGTCACCGATGGGCAGCAGGCATGAATTCAAAGCCCGACGCCAAGAGGACCTTTGGGACAGCAAGCAAACAGCGTTGGGACCATCAGGCGGATACTCGGGCCTAGTTCATCTTTACCAATCACTCGGAGTCATTAATCTCCTCAGTAGCCCAATGAGGACTTGCCACAGACCACCAAACGGCATATGCTTCAGGCCGAACAGCTCGGGGGTGTGTATCTGCTCCTGTCCCACCCACACGTCAGGCAAATCGCACACCGGTTCCCTTCTCTGTTGGCTTGATATGTCCCCCCCAGGTGTCACCATCTTTCAAAAGGGTTTGGCACTGCCAGTCTGACATTACATCCAAGCTACCCAGTCAATTGATGCCGTCGGGCCTGCTTCTGCATCGAGGGGGGGGGGGGGGGGGGTCGTGTTAACCTGGGTTCCCCCATGAACAGAGCACTGTCTCATCCGTTTTGCTCAGGTGTCCTTCCCATCTGCATACTCCCGATCCAATCTCACGGCCATCGGTTTCTCCCCCCTCCCCAAAAGGGTCCCTCACTAGCTGGCTAGCACCAACGCCGAGTAGACCCAGACCCTTGAAGCAGAGGCAGAGGTGACGGGGCGCGATAACCTCCCATCACAGCATTGGGGGAAAGTTTGTGCCTTACCGCCACGTGGGCACTTCTTACTTACTCCCCGACTCTCTTTCCTCTGACAGAGAGCTCACAAGACGCGGGGGTTAGCAAGATTCAAGGCCTTATAAGTGCATGATGACGGTGGACAAGCTGTCGTGGAGGCTTCGTGAATCGACCTACGGTAGCTGGGGTCTCCGCCTCTGGTAACTACTACAAGAGAGGGAGATTACCCCGGGTTTCCCAGAGGTATCCGTCAGTCTCCTCGTCCGCCTCTGTCCGTCTGTCTGCCTACCTGGCTGGCGGAAGCACAACACACCTCTCGCCCCTCATGACTCGACCCAGAGTTCCAGACGACAAGCGGCAGAGGACTGCGCGTGCTTGCGATTCTTGCAAGCGCCGGAAGCAGAAGGTGAGTCTACGAGTCATCAGTCACATTTTCCTTCAGTTGGTTCCCAAAGGAATTGGGCCGTTTGGGCTCGCCTTTTTCCCCTTTCCGTAACGCTCCAAGGGACGGACGGACACGCAACTCGCATACACATCACACACGCATACGCACACGCATCCCGAAAGGGGGCCTGGGGAGAAGAAGAGGAAAAGACGGATGAACAAAAGAACCAAAGCTGGTCCTCGCAACGTTTACTCGCGCTATTATCACAACACGTTTCCCGCACCTCAGTTTCTTGACTATCGAATGTCGCGATATGCATGTCACCCCCAACATGCGTTTTTCGGTGACCGGAATATGGGCAGTTCGTACGGGAGAAAACAAAAAAATGATATTTTTTCCCACTTCAGCTGCAGCGAACTATTCCGAGACGAGGCGAGAACAATATGCGAGTGAGCCGATGGTGTTATTCTGATTGCACAGCATATGTACGGCCCGTCTTATGCCTGTGCAATGTGACAGATCTTTTACATTCATCCCGGCGCCCGGCTATAACATGGCTTGACCCGGCATAAGTGTGTTGGCAAGCGGACGCATTGCCCCTTTGGACAAGCCGTGCCGTCCATGGCGTCTCAATACAAAAGCAAGCTGCATGGGAACAATGCGAAATGCCCTCGCTAAGATTCTCGCATGCTACTCTCGACCGTCTCGGTTATGTACGCTGCACGGGCTGACCTTTTTCTTCCAAGTGTAATGGCCTTCACCCGTGCAACACGTGTATCAAGAGGAACTTGATATGCGACTACACGGACGGCAGAGGCCCTGCCAAACTGATGGCCGTCCATGCAACGTCTCCCACGGGACAGAGCCTCGCTTCTGACTCTGTCGACACCATCGGGGCGACTCCCGTTCACGAGGCGACCCTCGAAGCGTCGCCCAAGAGATCGCCCAAGCAGGCCAGATCGGCGCGACAGGCGAAGCGCAAGGAAAAGTACTCCCGCCACTCCTACGATGTTTCCTCCGTCAGCGAGGGCGATGAGAGCTTCCGCAACAGCACGGCGTCCGAGACGGACGAGGAGGCCGAAGTTATTGGCCAAATCAGAATGCTGCAGGATCCCATGAAGCGGCTTTGTGAGTGCCCTTTTTCCCTTTGGAATAGCAGGGTTCCTGGCGCAAGCTAATCGATGAGCAGTGTATATCGGAGACTCGTCTACCCTCTCGTATCTGCAGTTGATTCGTATGATTGTTTTTAACACGACTGGTTCGTCTGCGTTTACGGACGACCCCAGCCGACACCACATCTTGGAGCCTGTTACAGCAACCGCACCGAGCTCCATGATTCCTTATATGTTGCCAAATAAGGATGTGACGAACTTTTTGGTTCAATCGTTTTTTGTTAATGTACGGCTGATGAGCCCCCCCTGACCCCCTTTGTGGCAATGCCTTTCGACATTATGGCTAATCGATCCCGCTACAGACCAATGGTCTGATAGACCTGTTTGACCGAGCAACGTTTTACCAGTATCTGGACGCATGTTATTCGGGCCCACTCGAGGTCAACCCATCGACACTATGTTTAGTCTATCTGACTTTGGCAATCGGTTTTGTTTTGGCGTCGCCAGCTCCGGGTAGCCCTGAGGAGCTGATGATGAAAAGTTTCCAAGAGGGACCCGGAGAGAGGGCGGAGGCCCTTTTTCGGGCCGCCAAGTGTCTGAGTGATCCCCATAACGGGGTTGAGCACGCAGATCTGTGGATGATTCAGGCCTGGACTTTGATGGCGTTTTACATGTTGATCATCTCGAAGCGTAACGCGGCGTACGCCTATTGTGGTGAGTATATACTCCTTGGGACAGGCTGATTATAGCTGATAATTGCTTCCCCCCTCCCGAAGTCCCCCCTCCTTTTACTGACGCGAACTCGCTTTCTTTAGGCATGGCTGTCCGCTCTGCGTATTCTCTGGGGTTGCATCGAATCCGAGACACGATGGTGAAGTTTAACAATGAGATTGCAAGGCGCAACCTTTGGAGAAGCCTGTTTGTGCTGGACAGGTTTCTCGCCACGGCTCTCGGGCGTCCTGCTGCGATCAGTGAAGAGGACTGTTCGAGCGACTCGTTGGACTCGCCGGCAGATCTCTTGCTTGACAACGCCCAGCAAGGAGAAGACATGATTCGGACCGTCAGCCTCGACGCATCTGTCCGGATCTCCCGGTCCATCGGCACCATGCTGAAGAAGGTCTATTCGGAGCGCAAGATTTCGACCAAAGTGGCTCAGGAGATTGTCGACGACTGCCAGCTTTGGGCTTTCAACGGTCATCCATCTTTGGCAGTGAGCGACCTCCTCAATGGAAAGGCACCGGCAGAGATGGGCATTCCCATCTTGCACGTGCACTTGCTCCATTACCATTCCATCCTTCTCCTGAGCAGGCCGTTCTTTATCGATCTGCTGGTGAAGACGCGGCCAACCATTTCGGGAGACGTCGAACCGCTTCACCGGACGTTTTCGAGATCGGAAAAGTTTTCCCAGGCGTGCGTGGCTGCATCGACTCATTCCGTCACGCTCGTCCAGGCGGCCTTTGAGGCCAAGTATTTGCCGCGACGTAACCCGTTTATCTTGTAAGTTGCTCCTTGCACAAGTGGCGCGCTCACTCTCCCGGCTCGACTAACGGCATGGATTGCTCTTTATCTTGCCAGGTATTTCCTTTTTGCGGCGGCCTTGATCATCTTGAGTAATGAGTTTGCCGGTTTATACGAAAACGAGCATTACGCAGTGTCCATGACGAGCGCCATCAACATCATGGAGTACTGCGCCGCTGAAGACGTCCAAGCTCAGCGAATGCTCTACATCCTAAAGTCCTTCCTCGCAGATGTTGAGAAGCATCTCAAGTCGTCCGTCTCGGGCGACCAGTCCGAGCTCGCCCTGCCAGAGTGCCACATCGGCGACCCGGAGGAGGTCTTGCAGACGAGGAGGCAGAGTCTCGCTGCTCGACGAAACACTTACCACCGCCAACATCGCCAACAACAACAGCAGCAGCAGCAACAACAACAACAACAACAGCAGCAGCAGCAGCAGCCGTCGACGCCCATTGGTGGAGGCTCTTCATCCGATGCCATGGAGTACTATCCTCACATGGACACGGACGCGCGCGAATCGACCATTCACGTGCAGAGCATGGGACCTCTCGTGATGCGCGGAGAGCGTGCCATGGCTTCCACCACGACGAGCCCGACTCTGTCGACCCGCCCTCGCTCGTTTTATCGGAGGGCGGATCTCGCCCTTTCGAAGCCAGACGAGCAGCAAGAGTTTGAGAATCTGTCCGCCCACCACAGCAACAGCAGCCCTGCCGACGTGCAGTCGACGAGCATGGACTCGGAGGAGACCAAGGTGTACACTCACGGCTACAATAGCCCGACAATGATGCCTCATGCGGAACAGTCGGCTTTTCAGGCTCAGCATCATGGAGGCGCCGGAGGAGGCTTCAGAGGGTACCCCGCCGCTCCGGGGGGGCGTGAGAGTGAGAGGACTCATTTTGGTGGGCACTATCTGTATGTCGATGACAAATGAGTGGGTTTTTGTTGGCAGAGGGCTTGGAGGTCATTGCTTCAAGAGAAGGGTATTGTGTTTGTGTGTTTGTGTTTCTGTGTGTGTGTGTTTGTGTGTATTTGTGCAGGAGAAGATGATGGACCGTACAAGACGATGGGTGTCACAGGCCTCCGTCTTGGATGTCATCAAGGCGATGAAGGACTGTTACGCTCAAGGGTATCTCTGTTTGAAGATATACCGCAAGGTAGTAGAAGTTTTTTTTTTTTTTTTCCTCTTATGTCTTATGTTTATGGTTTATGTGTTATGTTTTGTGTTTCTCTGTTTCTTGATTCATCTTATCAAGGTTTTGTGTTTACATTGATTTCATTTGTTTATATAGCTACGACGACATCTCTGAATCCAGATCATTCATAACCAAAGTTGTTCGTCAACCAGCTCGTGAACCCAATATCTCTATATATATGGACTCGGTCAATGACGAGCCTCTACCACGAACTGGGACCGAAATGCTCCCCCTCCGCAACATGCTTCCTCACAGCCGTCCCCTGATAATCCATCGTCGTAGTCACGACATCATTCCCCCACCACCTCGGCGGATCAATCCCTTGCATCGTAAACGCAAAGAAGATGAAGAGCGTAGCCAGCGCCAGCCCCAGATCCAAACCGGACGACGTCAAAAAGTTGGACCTGCTCCACCACCGGAAGTGCCGCTTCTTGATCCAGAACTGGAAGACGAAGCCGACGATGCCCCAGGAGAAGTAGTTGAGCGGCGTGGCGGGCGGGATGGCTCCGGGCCCGCCAAAGAGCAGTGGTGCGATGAGGTATCGGGCGGGGGATTTGGGGTACTTTTTGATGGCGAGGTAGATGATGATGGGGGTGACTGCGCCGATGATGAAGAAGATGAAGAGGCCGGAGTAGATCTGGCCGGGGGAGAACATGCGGCCGGGGCCGATGAGGCCCCATATTACTGAGGCTGGATGGTGACGAGATGGGTTAGTATTGAGGTCGACGTCTGACGAGGGATGAAACGCTTGGTAAGATATTGTCACTGACCAGAGTAAAAGACTCTTCCTCCTGGACACGTAAAGTGGTCTTCCTGCTGGTCATCGCATACATTGTCGATGCTGTTGAGGGCCACGTTAAGAACAAGAACCTGGATGATGCAAGAGTATGTCGTGGCGACGACCTGGGCCAGGAACATGGTCCGGGGTGGAATCTTCATGTAATGGCCAAACTTGAGATCGGAGACGAAATTGAGCGCTTGCGACCTATTGGACGTTGATGAGTTTGATTGTGCCTAAGGCGAAAGTCTTGTTGTAATAGTCTCTTCACTTACATGGTGATGTAGCCAAAGGTTTTGAAGCTAATTCATGCACGTATGCATGGTTAGTGATAAGGGACCTTTCCTCCTTTCGCCCTGCGGCACCAAGGTGCGGGATAAACATACAGCATGAGTGCCAGAGGCCGGCCAGGCTGGATGTAGCCGTAGACAAACTCCGTGAGCACATTGAGGCCAATCTGGTTGTTTGTGACTGCTTGGATGATGCCGATGGGCAACGAGAAGCCAAACGAGATCATGACGGCCAGCAAGAAGGCCCACCAGGTGAGATTGGTTGGGTACGCAAGCACTGTATAGAAGCCCAATGCCAGCATCTAAAGTCAAGGCACGATGATGTCAGCGGGTGCCGAAGGTGATGGTTGCCTGTGCTGGGCGAAGACGGACGAAAAGGAGAGCGCGGAAAAGGGAGGGCGTGAATACTGACAATGGCGAAGAGTGAGAGATACCACCACGTAGGTGCCTCCTTGTACTTTCTCATCAGCTTCATATGAATGTCCGGCTTCTCTGTGGTGCTGTTCATGTACTGCCTCCAGATGTACTTGCCGTGGTGAAGATACGTGTACACCACGAGGGAGGAGATGGCTGCGAATGACAGGCCATACGATATGGCGAAAGTAGTGCTGTTAAACTCATGAGTCTTGAATCATGCGAGGTATGAGGCCGACGTCGGGACAATCGGGCAGTTACCTGATGAACAAAGGCGAGTAGCTTTTGTAGGCTTCCTCGTTGAAAGTCATGTCGGAGTTTACAATCCGCGTAATGTTGTACCTTGCTCCCGTATTGTCGTAGATGCTGGCATCGTTGATGGGGAGGAACGAACCATACCATGTCCCGGAGTATTGAAGGAGAATTGACAGCCCCAGATAGAATACGACAACGCTGAGCAGGGTGTTGGCAATGGCATGCCTAGATCCGTTCTCGTCAGGACTACAGCAGCAAGTCGCAGGCTTGTGTAACTCACCAAGGCGAGACGAGGGGGGATCCGATGTAACCTGACACTTGGCTCCAGTCAAAGGTGATGGGAATGAGGGACAGGCCAGTGTATCCACCAAAGAGTTGATTGATAACCGGACTCTGGGCTGCCATCCAGGTCGGAAAAGCAAAAACGCTGAGGAACTGGGCAAACCAGCCCGGGATGAAGTAATAGACGAAAGAGGCTGCTGTGACAAGGCCGAACCAGGTATATCTAGGGAAGCGGCCACCGAAGACGGTGGGATCCGTTTCATCACCCGACTCATACATGGCATTCATCATGGTCACGGAAGCTAGGTTGCCAGGCCATATCATGGACGCAGGATACACTATAGACAAGTATAGAGTTAGACACCGACGCCAGGGGGGGGGCGTGATTCGAACTTTTAGGGGAGGGTGAGCATCAAACCTAGATATTTGCGCATCACACCGGCAATGCCATATCCCAAGGACTGTGTGGAAATGGTAAGCAGGATCTGGAAGAGCAATCCGAAATTCTGCTTGTAGAAGATCATCTGCGCCAATATGATGTCTGTTGAGTAGGCAACAGAAAAGGACACGGACGCCATGACTCCGATGATGGCATGCTCCTTCATGTTGAAAGGGCCCGGATTTAGATTCCACTTGATGCCGAAAAAGCTGAATTCACGCTCCGGGACGAAGCGTGCCCACCCGTGACCAATGGGCCACGCAATGATTTGAGCCACAAGGGGGCCGATGGAAATGGTTGGCCGACGCAGAGAGAAGATGGTGTTCATCGAGGCACCGATGATGACGAGGGACAGTCCAATTGTCCAAGCACGAACCGTGCTGCATGGCACGTCTTCGTCGTAGTTGTGAACAGCCGCGCGAACTTCGGGATATGGAGAGTTTTCCTCCTCGTCTTCGTCGCCCCCTTTCGACTCATCGTCGGATAAGGCGTCTTCAGTCCGGATACGACGGCGAGACTCATGGTCCTCTGGCAGATTTGGGTCCATGAGAAGCTCATACTCTGATCCTTGGTCGTCGTCGTCCAGGTCGTTCCGTGCGCCGGAATCCGGCCATTTGGAAATGGTCTCGCGCAGGTTTTCCATGAGTCCAGTTGTTGGACTTGAAAGGGAATGGCGAGGATGAGGCCCGGATTCGCTCTCACGGCCGCTCGCTTCCGCCATATTGTCCATGGTATGTTCTTTCATTGGGCGCTGGATGGAAAATGGCCATATAGGGGTCAATATCAGCGGGGGAGTCTTGATGAGCCCTGGCCAGTTGGTGAGAGTAAGCCTGGTGATGAAGTGGAAGGCCGAGATACGGGGACTTTGCGCTTCCTAGCTTTCTCTGTCTCACTCTCTCAAAGTCTCTTCCTCTGCCTCATCTCAGTTTGAAGAGCCCATGTTGAAAGAAAGGAAATCGAGTCAGGATATCGAGAAGTTGGATCAAAGACTCTCAGAACGCTAAAAGATGGATCGGATAGTGGCCACGCGACAATAGAACAAGCGCTGGCGACTATCGCAGCCAATTCCGAGGATTCAGTTGCAATATCGATGGCCAATGATAAATGACGGTTTCTGACATGCAAATGCTCGTACTGAATCTCTTAAATGGGCGAGTCGAAGGTGTTTAATGTTCGCATGTTGAAGGAGGATGAAATCCAGAGGCAAGGAAGGGAAGGAGACGAGACGAGACGACGAGACGAGAAGGCAGGGACCCCTAACGGTGAGCACTTGGGCAACTACGAAAGGGGGCTTAGCGTGTCTCGTCCAACGCTAGCTGACAATAAGCTGTTAAGCCGAAACGGGCTGTTCCTCAGATAATTAATCGATCAATATCTCTGCTGAAAGAAATCCAACATCTATAATTTGTATTTCTCATCTTAACCAGAGCCAACAACAACACCAACATCAAAACGCCTCCAAAAGTCATTCACACGGGCAACTGCTAAGCAGTCTCGAGCAGGCAAAATATATATAAAATCCCTGATATGGAATCATAGAAAAACAATGCGACGGGTTGTCGTGACTGGCCTCGGCGCCATCACGCCTCTCGGGCTCGGCATCCGGCGCACCTGGACCCGTCTGATCGCAGGCGAGTCCGGCATCGTCAGCGTGGCCGAACGGGAACCGAGACAGCGCTGGCGAGAGCTGACGTGCACCGTCGCCGGCGTCGTGCCTCAGGGGGCCGGCGGCAGGGCTCACGGCGTCTGGAGGGCTGACGACTGGCTCAGTGCCGCCGAGCAGCGGCGCATGTCTCTGTTCACGCAGTATGCGATTGCGGCAAGCGACATGGCGCTGGAGGATGCGGGGTGGAATGCGTCGCGGCTGGAGGATCAGGAGGCTACGGGCGTGTGTCTGGGGAGCGGGATTGGGAATCTGGAGGAGATGTATGAGACGAGCCTTTCCCACAGCAGAGATGTGAGCTTATCCACTCCCACTCCCACTCCCACTCCCACCAAGATCTGGGCAATCCAGCAACTAACAACGATGCTCGAGTTTAGGGATACAGAAAAGTGTCACCACTCTTCGTGCCTAAGCTCCTCATCAACATGGCCGCTGGGCACATCGCCATGAGGCACGGCTTCCAGGGCCCCAATCACGCTGCAACAACAGCTTGCACGACGGGGGCGCACTCCATCGGAGACGCAGCTCGGTTCATCGCCCATGGAGATGCCGACGTCATGGTGGCGGGGGGAGCAGAGTCCTGCATCCATCCTCTCACCTTTGCCGGCTTCGGGAGAGCCAGATCCCTGACCACAGCGTACAACGATAGACCGCAATCAGCATGCCGCCCGTTTGACGCCGACAGAGATGGCTTTGTGATTGCCGAGGGAGCAGCAGTCTGCGTGCTCGAGGAGCTTGAGCATGCAAAGGCCAGGGGAGCGAGGATCTACGCTGAAGTCCGCGGCTACGGATGCAGCGGCGACGCTCACCACATGACGGCGCCGCGGGAAGACGGCCATGGAGCGTACATGGCGATGAAGAGGGCGCTGAAGAGCGCGGGCATCAAGCCCTCGCAAGTCGACTACGTGAATGCACATGCCACGAGCACGCAGGTGGGGGATTCGGCTGAGGCAGCGGCGATTAAGCGGATCATGCTGGGCGAGGAAGGTGTTTCGTCCGAATCACAGGTCACTGTGAGCGGCACCAAGGGGGCGATAGGGCATTTGCTGGGTGCAGCGGGAGCCATTGAGGCTCTCTTTTGCATCCTTGCCATTGACCAGGTGAGATTTGAGCTTCACTTTACATAACCCAGGAATTGCGTATGAACTGACTTGTTTAACGCAACAGGGCATTGTACCGGCTACCCTCAACCTAGAGCGGCCGGATGTCGGCGTCGACTTCAACTATGTCCCGCAGCAGAGCCAGGAGAAGGATGTGAGGGTCGCGCTGAGCAACAGCTTTGGCTTTGGCGGGACCAACAGCACGCTGGTGTTTTCCAGGCTGGAGTAGTTTGTTGACTGATTGGATATGATATATGTAAGAATACTGTAATAATATTGTAAGAGATACACTACCTAAATAAAACATGTACATCTTTGGTTCTGTTCAAGCCCCAATCGGTCCTTTCCATGTGAGGTCGTCGACACCAGTGTCATGGTTACATCAAACCACCACATCCATGATCTCTCCATGCCGTGAATCTGCCCCTCCAAGAACCGACTCTCAAGACCCTGCATCAACACACTCGAGATCCCCCCTCCAATGCGCGGGGCAGCCGCACTTTAGCCGCTCCCAGCAAGCCACTTACCATGGCCTTATTACTACTATAGTAGCGAAGTTTTTTGGTGCAGCAGCGCCAAAATCCACCGCGTCATGGAAAGCTGCTAGTCTCTAGAGGCATGTGGTTGCATGTACATACATACTGCTACCAGGTATCTCTCTATCGGCTATCAACAAGAGCCAGACGAAAAAAAATCCACCTACAAGCTTCTCGCCCGCCTACAGCAGACATCTGCCTCTGCCTCTCCAGCTCATGGCCATTCACGCTCCACAGACGCACCTCGCCTCGACTCGACGATAACCCAATCCTCTTCTTCTTTTCTTCTCCATTTCCGTACCTTCATCTTCGTACATCCTCCACAATGGCCTGCGAGAGCTGCCGGTCCCAGGCCCGGACGCTCCTCCGAGCCGCATCCCGCACCTCCATATCACGACCCTCTCGAACCGCCAAAACAGCCGCCCTCGTCGTTCCCCTCCTCCACGCACATGCGCCTGCCGTCCGGACGCCCTCGTCATCACGCAGCTTTGGCAGCACAAGCTCGAGAAGGATCCTGGGAGGCCTTGGAAGTTCCATTGGGGAGTCGTACCGCGTGCTGGGCGCTTCCGAGAGGATATTCAAGGCGGCCTCCAAGGCGGCCGACTATCGCATCACGGAGGAGGAGCGCAAGAATGACCAGGTCGAGAGGTTAGACGACGGCGAGGAGATTGGCAAGTCTCTGGAACAAGGCAACATCTGGCACAACGGTATGACCTCCTTTATATGAGATATGAGCCATATCAAACAGGGATCACAAATCTCAGCTGACTCTCTCTCGCCATGTTCAAAACAGCCTTCAAGCTCCCGCCAACATTCAGCACCTGGTCGCACGTCACCATGCTGCACCTCTACCTCGTCAACGCCCGCATACGCTGCCTCGAGCGCGACGCCTACCGCAACTGGCAGCAGCAGCTCATCGACCACTTCTTCTTCGAGTGCGAGAAGAAGATGCACATTGACCACAACATCACCTCGAGCGCCCTGCGCCAGCGCTACCTCAAGGACATCTTCGTCCAGTGGCGCGGCCTGCTGCTGGCCTACGACGAGGGGCTCATCAAGGGCGACGCCGTCCTGGCCAGCGCCGTCTGGAGGAACCTGTTCAAGGGCGACCCCGAGGTCGACCCGCGCGCGCTCGTCGCCATTGTCGGCTGGATGCGCTCCGGGCTCGCCGCGCTCGAGGGCGCGTCCGACATGGCCATGCCCAACAGGGCGCTCGAGGTGCTGGCGAGGCCGGTGGATGTGTTTTGGACGAGGCTGGAGGAGCCGTTCAAGAAGGAGGACGGCAAGGCTGGTGCTGCTGCTGCTGCTACTGCTGTGCAGGAGGACAAGGCGACGAACGGCGCGAAGCCCGCTGCCAAGACGGCTCAGGCTGCTTGGCGGGATGGGGATGATATGCAGTGAAGGCCAACAAAGAGTAAATCTTAAATGGCGACCTATGGCTGCTGTACAAACCGTGTAAAGTGTTCTGGGGGGAGGTGGAAACATGGTATTGGGTGGGACATGAGAGGAAACAAAAAGAGGCGTTGGATGGATTCCATTACATGTAGCAACGCAGTGTATGTGTACGAGGGAGACGCAGCAATCATGGCTTCGACATTCCCACCTCCTGATAGACTCCGTCTGACGTCTATTGTATATATTACACGCAATTACACCACCTCTGATATCTACTGCTTATACAACACGCAATTACACCACCATCTATAAGAGAATAAAATATCGTCACTCAAACACACTCTTCACTCCCTCTCCCACATCTCGAACTCATACTTGATGCCCGCCTCCTCCTGCCCTCCCTCCTCAACCTCCACCTCCTCCCCCGTCCACCTCTGCAACTCCTCCCTCGACCTCTTCCGCCACCCCTTGGCCGCAGCCTCCTCGCTCCCATCCGCCCTCAAATCAAGCGGGAAAAACACATCGCAATCAAAGTCGGCATCGATCCTCGTCAGCAGCACCCTCTTGGCCGCCGGATGCCGCAGCGCAGCCTCGTAGATTTGCGCGCCGCCCATGACGAAGACGCGGGCGCCGGTCCCCGCGCTGGCTTCGTGCGCGTACTGCAGGGCTGCTTCGACGGACGGGACGCGGATCTCTGCGCTGGCTGCTGCTGCTGCTGCTGATGATGATGATGATGATGAGGTAGGAGGAGGAGGATGGGAGGATGTGGCGGAGCGGGTGATGACGATGTTGAGGCGGTTCTTGAGGGGCCGGAACTTGGGGGGGATCGAGTCCCATGTTTTGCGGCCCATGATGACTGCGTTTTGGGGGGCCTGTTGTGTTTTTGAATTAGCAGCAAATTCCCCCTCAATATCAATACTACAGAGAATGATTCGAATTCTAGAGGTTCAGTGAGAGGCGGGTTTCAAGAAAGAGAGAGAGACAGGTTGATGAGTTGAAATTTTTCGTTACCTGTGACGAGGCGGGAACCCGCGTCGTGACGCGAGCGAAATACTGCATTTCCCGCTTGAGGCCCTTCCAGGGCATGGTTCCCTGGAAGCCAATGCCCATGCTGCGGGTTGCGGCTACGATGAGGGTGAGTTCAGGGGCTGTCATGGCTGTGATGTTGATATCTGAGTGTGGTGTATATATGTATGTGAATGAGTGAGTGAGTAAGTACTAGGTAAGTGATTGGTGAGTGGGAACATGTGTAAGTGGGCGCGACAAATCGTGGTTTTAGCGCAGCACAGGACTACCAGTTGGGTCGCATAGGCTATTATGTACGAAGACTACGAGACTGAAAACAGCTTCAAAAGATGCAGTTTTGTCAACTTCAAGGCGATATATTTATTTTGAAGTCCGCTTTGGTAGAGGATAGAAAGACGGGTCTTTTAAACATGTTGTCCGGTGTCGTGGGTTGACCTCCAATTACTACTACCTGTACAATGCTGACGAACGTCCCTCTACAACTTGGACGGCGTCAGCACCGCAATGTCTTGGAATGGAATGTCCAGGAACCTGTATACATGGTTAAACCTATACTCCATCGTTAGCAGAAAGAAGAAGAAAAACACATTACCAGTGCTATCAGTCAATACAGCATTCATCAGATCAACTCACCGATCGCTGCCAAAGAAGGGCTCCTGCTCGCCCTTGTCATTCGTCACCCAGAACCACGGCGCGCCAAACGCCCCCAGATCAACAGCCATCTTCGTCGTAGCCAAAAGCACATCCTTCATGCTGCCCCGGCTCTGCATAATCCGTTCCACCTCGTCCTCCGAGAAGAGCTTCTTGCTGTTGCTGCTGCTGCTGCTGCTGCTGTTGCCAGGCTTCTCAGTGGCCCCTTGCAGGACGGCACGCAGATTCTCCTCCGGGATGAGATTGACGTTGGGAGGCGTCCAGAAGGCAATGAAGCACGCTTCCATGGCGGCTAGGAACGTAGCCTGCGGGTAGTTGGCCTTGATGTAGTGCAGGGCGCGCAGCGGCGAGATGGTATGGGCGACGGCCATGAGGTCCGGGGGGCTGCGGATGTTGAAGAGGCCGACGCGGTGGGCGGCTCGGCGGGAGTCATATTGCAGATATTTTGCCTTGGCCTTGTTGAGCCATGGAGGGCTGTTGCCTGTGACGTCCGGTCAGCATTGTCTGAGGAGTGATGAAATTGAAAACAACATTGACAGAAGGGGGTGGCCACGTCGACGAAGACGATGGGGAGGGAGAGGCCATACCTGAGAGGTGGTTGATGCCGCCCAGAAACACGGGATGAATCCTGACAGATCAAAGTGGTTTAGTAGATGATCTTGCACGGCAGATACTAGACGTTGATGACGGTGGTCGTGACAGTCATGTGGTGACGATGACGACTTACTCTATGTCCACTCCGCTAGCCGCCAGCTTATCACAGTTCTGCGCCAAGTCTGCAAAGGCGACGTAGCTGAAGTAGGATGCTAGCCATAGGGTATGCTCTGTCAGTCTGATTGATGCCAATGATAACAAAGGCGCCGTCTAATCGACACACACACGCACAGAGCAAACTCACAGAGATCCAGGAAGCACTCAATCTTGCCTCCCATGGTTGCCTCTTCTCCCCTGAATTTTCCCTCTCGAAATTCCCACTGGGCTGTCAATGTTACCCCGGATTTCCGCTTTTTGCCAAGATGCAGGCCTCAGGGAAATACAATTCGATTGCGGCAGCTAGAAAAAAGCGTAGATGGCGTGATGGAAGCTGATGACAATATCAGAAAAATGCCCACGTTGACACTGTTCTTTGTTGTTATATGGATGTCAGCAGCTCAGGTCTCACCACACTCAAGCACAGCTCCCCCGGCTTTCTCCCCCGTCTTTCTTTACCGCATACCCGCCCTGTAATATTGAATTCTGCGGGGGCAACAGCACCAGCGCTACAGACGCTATGAAGACATTGAACGAGCCGAGGCATCGACAATCCACTGGACCTCAAGCGGCAACTCTGCTGAAGCTGTACAATATGTTCACTAATCACCGAGATGCTGCTGCGCCGGCTCCACATTTGCTCGGCAGCATTCAACTCCCAGCTTCGTCAATGGATATAACTGGGATAGGTCGGGCTGATGATGACATGTGCTTGAATCGTTTTTTATACATTTATATAACAACAGCTGTTGACCTGTCATCTTGTTCCATTTAGCATCTATTCGTCATTCTTGAAACTCGATCAATTAAACAGGGTGCAGCCGAGCACACCCACCTTGACCCATCATCCATTCCATCTTCACCAACACCAACATCAACATCAGCATCATCACCACCACCACCATCACATAAAACAACAACAACAACAACAAAATGCCCTCCCAAAAGCCCGTCGCCCTCGTCGTAGGAGCCTCCCGCGGCATCGGCCGCCAAGTCGCCATCGACCTCGCCAAAAACGGCTACGCAGGTGAGTCTCCGATCCTCAAACCCTCCACATTCACACATACCTAGATATCGATCTATACCATGTTTTACCATTCATTCAAAACTCTTAACAAAACATCCGTGTTAAAAAATCCCACAGTCGTCGTCGCCGCAAAGTCCATCACAGACCCCTCCAAGCTGCCCTCCAACACCCCAGACCCCAAATCCGCCGCCTCGACCGTCACCACCGTCGCCCGCGAAATCGCTTCCGCCGGCGGCGAGGCCACGCCCATCCAGGTCGACGTCCGGTCCGAGGAGAGCGTCAACGCCCTCGTCGCCAAGACGATTGCTGTAAGCCTCCATCATCATCATCATCACCACCAATCATCACCATCATTGCCACTGTCTCTAAGAATAGTTGACTGTTGTTAACAAAATCAGAAATACAACCGCCTCGACGTCGTCGTCTACAACTCCGGCGCAATCTGGTGGGCCTCCATCGCAGACACCCCCCTCAAGCGCTTCCAGCTCATGCAGCGCGTCAATCCAGAGGGCCTCTACGCCGTCGTCCAGGCCGCCCTCCCGCACCTCTACAGGGCGCCCCAGGGAGGCCGCATCGTCGTCGTCAGCCCGCCCATCTACAGCCGCTTCTTCCGCGGCAAGGCCGCCTACGCCATGGGCAAAGTCGGCATGAGCGTCCTGACCAAGGGGCTGGCGATGGACTTCGAGCGCGAGGGGAGGAAGAATATGGCGATTACGAGCATTTGGCCTGCAGTGGTGAGTCTTGACCAAACCCCTTCCGAAGTGTAGCATACTCGTTCATACCTTTATCCCACCATCTACACATACACAATAGACTATACACACATATATATCTACGTATGGCTTCTAATTCTGAGAGGAAAAACAAACTAAAAAAAAAAGGCCATCGAATCAGCCGCCACCGAGCGCTTCACAACCCTCAACCCCTCCGAAGCAGCAGACCTCCGCAAGCCCACCATCTTCTCCGACGCCATCCTCGCCATCCTGCGCTCCCCCGCAGCGCGAGTCAACGGCGAGCTGCTCCTCGACGAGGACTTCCTCCGCGACGAGTGCGGCGTCACGGACTTCAGCAAGTACAGCGTCGTCCCGGGGGCCGTGCCGCGCAGGATCATGCCCGCCAGGTTGCCTGATTTGACCGTTGCCGAGCAGGATGACGAGGGCAAGAGGGTGGATAGTGCTGCTGCTGCTGCTGCTGCTGCCAGATCAAAGCTGTAATCACTTACGAGGAGGAGGGAGGATGATGATGGCTATTGTGGAATGGAATCTTTTGACAATGTATTATGGCCTTGGATATAGCAAAGCTTCAAGTGCCTGACATCGCAAACTTCGTCAAGACTTTTTCAACACACGGATAATAAAGCACATGTACACCCTCATCTCTTAGCAACATAGCCACATCATGTAAAGCGCGTATTTCATACATCTAGTTAGTTAAGTCAAGGTATATCATCTACCTAATCTCAAAAGGAAACAAGCAAGGAAAATTATGACAAAAACACACAGGTTTCCTTTGAGACTTCCAAGCATTAGGCACACCCCCTCATATGGCCACTCCTTTTTCCTTCCGATCGGTGCCATCCATCTTCATCATCTCCTTGGCTATTTCTCTTCTTTATCATCTTCTTCTTTCTTCTTACACAAAAGGAAAGGGTAAAGGGGAAAAGGGACAAACAAGCGCTGTGCCAACCCAACCCTTTATCCATAATCAATCTTACAACAACAAGAAAAACAAAAGGGAACAAAACGTCATCTTCCTCTCGCTCACCCCCAAAGGTTTCTCACCGACACGCAGGCGAGTGAAAAATGAATTCGTCGGCTTCTTTGAGCGTGGTCCTCTAGTCATCCCTGTCCTGCAGTTGGCTTAGCGGAGCCACGCCCTGGAGACCGACCATCTCCTCAATCGTCCGGTTAAACACGCCCGACACGTCGAGAACAACCTTGACCCTGTTCCACTCATGTCGGCCTCGCCAAATCTCGTCCATCATCTCGCGGTTGACCTGTTCAAGCTGCTCGATTGTGCAGCCCGCAGTAAGGTCTGTCACCAGCATCAACGCCTTCTCCAGCTCCTTGTCAATCTCCAACGGCTGAGAACTTCGGTTCGATTTCGAGCGGGCCTCGGCGTTCGACGATCCTTGCGGGGGCGAGCTGACCACCGACTTGACGGCTGCTGAGCTCTTGTCTGGTTGTGATTGGAACGAGGCTCGGTTGTCGATGATCGAACCCGACGAGTTGAGGTCGGGCGCCGGTCCCGGGTTTTGGGTGTGAACCCAACTGTCATCGCTCAGAGACAGTCGCCCCGAGGATTGCCCAACCACCAAGGTGTCCGGCAGCTGCTCCTCCGGCTCGTGATGTCCATTGGTGTTCTGTGAGCTCCGCTGTTCCGAGCTCCAGTTGTTCGACCGATAGGTTGAGAGACTCGACGTCTTCGTCGTGGATGCCTCGTTGATCACGGCAGACGGCGACACGCCAGGAGGCAGAGTGGTGACGGCTGATCGTTGAGAGACCTGCGTCCCCACCACGGTCGCCAGATTCCGCGAGGAACCCCCCTCCGAAGACCTGGGCGGCGGGCCCATGGGAGATGACTGGATCTGGCTCAGCGCCACCTGAGTGCTGTCGTCAGTGCCGCTCATCTGCACATCGCCCTCCTTTGACAGGTCTGCAACGCCGTTGCTGAGCTGATGCTCCTCGTCGTGGCCGGACTCGCCATGTCCGTTGGACAGCGGGCTGCGAATCTGGAAGCGGGCCATCGTCCGAGCCCCCGGCACCGGTTCCCCAAGGGTAAGGGGACCCTGCGAGTCGCTGTCGTTGCCGCCGCCGAGGTCCGACTGGACTCGTTCCAGTACCGACTGCATGGCCTTTCGCTTCCGCTCCTTCTCGGCCGCTTCTTTGGCTCGCTGCTGCTGACGCTGGTAGAGCGCTTCCCAGTCGATGTGGGCCGTGCTGCTCTCGATGCTCGCGACATCCACCTCGACGTTGCTGAGCAGCTCGTTGGCCTTGAGGGTGCGCTCCTTGTCGCCAATGTTCTTGGCGTCCCTTGCGAGAGTCTTGATGTCGAAAAGGAAGTCCTTGGGCCGGGCATAGAACCCGTTCGACAGGCGCTCCTCAATGGTCGTGGTCTCCAGGTTGTAGTAGTGCTTGCCAGTCTCCTTATGTAGCAGCACGTCATTGCCGTACTTGTCCTTGTCAATCTCAAACGGCCTGTTCTCCCCCTCTGCCACATCGGGCCGCACATAGTTGGGGTCTGCCTCCATGAACAGATACTCGATCTGGCTTTGCGGGATCACAGGCTGCCTGAACTTCTTATACCTGCGGTTAATCTGGTCCATGATGGGCTGCAGCTGGATCTTGAGCGCGTTGAGGAGCTGGTGGTCCCTCTTCTTGAGAGCCTTGACTTCTTCCTTGGTAGGCGGCTTGACGGGAGCTGGCGGAGCCAAGGGGAGCTCTTCGAGCACTCTCTTCTTGCGGTTTTCGAGATCCGGGAATTGGTGAGGCGGCAACCTGATGTAGTCCAGCGTCCTCCCGAAATAATGGATACGATTGACCTGCTGGATGTTAGCATCACTCCGCCACGCTGTTGCAGACACCGCCGTTCGCTCTTCTCACTTACCCTCTCTGGTCTCTGGATCTCCATCAGGTTTTTGCTAGAGTAGCCGAAAAAGTCGCGAACCAAGTCTTGCGGAAGATCCCTCTTCTCGCAATCCGCGGTGGCAAGCAGGAGCACTGGGTCTGTTGGTGGGATAGACTTTAACATGGTGCGAAAGGTAACGAGGGCCAGCGTTTTGTCCAGCACCGCGTACCAGGTGTCGATGTTTGGAATGAAGATGACACTCGGCTTGTGACGCCTCACTTCCGTGAACAGGGCAACAATGACTTGCTCCATAGGCTATTATTCTTCAATTAGCAATGTTCCATGTCTTGAGGGGACTCGGTGCGCAACACGGGAAGAAAGAAAGAAGAAGAAAAAAAAGAGAGAAAAGAGGGGGGGGGGGGGGGGGTTAGGCTTACCCGTCCATCATTGAGCAGGCTGGGGAGGTCAAAGTTCTGCACGTGAATTCCTTCAAAGTGATGAAGGATGGCAGAGGAGAGATACCCCTGACCCATGCCATGAGCACCAGTGATGAGGAACCGGGGCCGGAAGACGCGAGAGCGCTCAAATTCTTGGTGCAGCGTCTCACGACCAAATCCATGATCCTTGTCATCATACTGCTCATACATGGCCTCTTCCAGTGCAGTCGTCTTCTTCTTCCGAGGCAGGATCAGTTCGAGCGCCTGCTTGGCCTCTTCGAATTGGTCGCGGAGAAGAGGCGCGATGGAGGCTGGCAGCGGGCGTGCTCCAGACGTCGCAGAGCGCTCCGACGAAGGAATCATCTTCTTGATGGAGATCATAAAGTCCGAAGCATGAACCGAGATCTTGGCGGGATCGACGAGAAGCTTCTCCTTGGACGAGTAGATTTGCGGGTACGTTCGCTGAATGGCGTTCAGAGACGCCTCGGTACAGAGAGCCCTGAGATCGGCACCGCCGTAGCCCTTTGTGTTTTCCGCCAGCGACTGCAGGAAATCTTCCGACAGGCCCCAGTCCTGCGTGTGGATGTTGAGGATGGACCTGCGGCCCTCGAGGTCGGGCAAGGGGAAGTAGAACTCCCGGTCGAAACGCCCTGGTCGTCGAAGAGCAGGATCAATGTTGTCCGGCCGGTTCGTGGCACCAATGACAATGACTTGTCCTCGCCCGTCCATGCCGTCCATGAGGGCCAGCAGAGTCGAGACGATGGAGGCATGGATCTGCTCCTGCTTGCTCGATCTGACCGGCGCCAATCCATCAATCTCGTCAAAGAAGATGATGCTCGGCTGGTTCTTCCTTGCTTCCTCGAACAGCAAACGAAGCTGCTTTTCAGCCTCGCCAACCCACTTGCTGAGCGCATCGGCGCCCTTGCGCATGTAAAAGGAAATCTTCTTGCCGCCAGAGCCAACGGAGTTGGCCAGAGCCCGAGCAAGGAGCGTTTTACCGGTGCCGGGGGGACCATGGAACAAGACGCCGCGGGGTGGCGTCACATGGAATCTCGTAAAGAGCTCGGGATACAGCAGAGGAAGCTGGACCATTTCCTTGAGCTGGTCGATGTGGCCCTGCAAGCCACCAACTTTGCTAAAGTCGACGTTGAGATCCACGCCCAGAGGGTCGGCGTCTGCAAGCGCTTTTCGGTCCTTGATCTTGCCGACGTTGGGCGTGGCTCCGACGCCGTCCACGCCATGGCTCTGGCCGCCAAAGACGAGGCCACCGGCCGGAGCTGCAGAAGTCGGCGTCATGCCCACGTTTCCTGCGGCGGTGGACCTGTGCACCATCTCATCGTCGCTACTGTCTGAGTCAACTCCGCCAGTAGCACCGGTGCCCCATGGACCGCCAAGTAGCGACCCAACGGCGCCGCCGCCGCCAAAGGGGCCGTATGTGGTATTCAGGTTTCGGTCCCAGCCGGCACTGGCGCCGCCTCGGCGGCGATTGCGGGCCGGAGTGGGGGCGGGGTCCTCCGCTTCCTCCTCAATGTTGGCGGCAGTCAACGGAGGCATGTAGTAGTTGATCCTGGGCCTGGGCCGGCGGCTGCTCTCCTGATATTGTATGGGAGACTCTGTCCGGGTCTTTCGGTGAGATCTGGACGACTTCCTCAACTCGCGGGCTTCTTCATTGAGCTCCTCCAGGTCGAATTCGGGCTCGTCGCTGGCAGAGGAATTCCGACGCCGCGAGCTGCGGACGGAGCGGGCCTGGGAACGCGTCTGTCTCCCACGAGGGGTCGGGCTATCAATAGCATCATTCTTGTTCCCATTGCGTCCGTTGTCCGAGGCTTCGGCATCGGAGTCAACCGGCTCAAAGTCGCTGTGCTCATTAGTCGTCTTTCTGGTGACTCTCCTTAGCCGTCCAGATCGGCGGGTACCGCCGTTATTCGCCTCTTCGGCTTCCACGCCTTCGGTAGTCTCGACGGCATCGTCCGTAGAAGCGGCGGCGTTGGCGCGAGTGCTCCGTCTTCTCCGCGTCGTGGGCACGTCGTCGTCATCTTCTTCTTCGGCGGCGGCCTCATTTTGTTGTGCGACATCAGGATCATCGGCCGGGGCCTCTTCCCCTGCTTGCTCCTCGTCGGCATCCTTGGCAGCATCCGGCATATCGGAGTCGAGTACTTCGTCAATCTCGTTGGTTGGCGTCTCTTCCAACAGCTCGTCAGGCGCATCGGCATCAGCCGTGTCTCGAGTAGTTTGCTCGTGGGCATCCTCCTCGATTGGCTCAGGTGCCTTCTTGAGCCCCTTGGCGGCACGGGACGGCCTGCCGTGGCGAGCAAGTGTCTCAGGGCTCTTGCTTCGCGACTCCCCCCGTGGTGCAACGGCGTGTCGACCGGAAGCGGACAGCTCGACAAATCCTTCAGCATCTTCAGGGTGTGATCGGGTGCTGCGTGTCTGCGCCAACGCAGTCTTGGAAACCCTGAGCTTGACCACCTTTGTCCCCTCCCGTCGTGTGGGTTTTGAGGGGGCTTGGGCTATTTCATCGGGCTTCTCCTCGTCTTCCGCTTTTGCTTTCGAGCCCGTTTGTTCTTCTTCGGACGCGTCATCGCTGTCTTCGCTGCTTTCCTTGTAGTTTTGCTGCTTGGCTGCCGCCTTTCTAGCTCGCCGCCCGGCCGCATTCAGGGGCGCCTCGTCATCAGATTCTTCCGTGTCCTCAGCAAAGGAGCCTTCGTCGGACAGGTCCTCGTCGTCGTCATCAATGTCAGACCCGCGATACTTGTTCGTCCGTCTCGAGCCACCCTTGGCTCCTCTCGACTGGCGAGTCTTCTTGGGGCCACGAGCAGGCCTTGCCTCCCGCGGGTCGAAGTTTTCGTCCTCGGAGTCCGACTTGTTGGGGTCAAAGACCTCCTCCAGCCTCTTTCTCTTGTTGCTCACCATTTTGTCGGATGTTGCGGCGTGTTTGGTGCAATGTGGTGCGGTGCGGTGCGGTGCGGTGGGCAGGGGACGTGAAGATGCTTTAACTGATGGCCGACGAACGATGGCGATGGATTACGTATGCGGGGGACAACGCTGTCACGCAATGCAGGCCCCGAAGCTATCGCAAGTGAGTCAGTAACTGACTTGACCCTGAGCTCCCGCTCGTCACGTCGCCGAGGGTTGCGAGAGGGGCCCGAACTGACCTAGAACCGAGATGAAGCCTCACGGTGCAAGTATACGGCGTGCATGGAATCGCGCAATGACACACTGGATCCCGCACAGGTCGGCGCCGTCAGATGGCCGAAGGGCAAAGCTGCGCTCTCAGTGATTGTCTGGGATTCAGCGGCTCAGCGGCTTCGCGTCGAGATCGCGCAGCGTCGGACTTCCTGGCGGGCACAGAAAAGAGACGCAGCAAAGTGGTCGCATATCGAAACCAGACCAGGTAAGTTAACGAGTCTTCGCGCGTCGCGAGAAGCTAAAGGCGTCCAGCACCACTAGCGCTGAGGCCACCCAAAAAAAAACGGAGGTTTCCTCCTCACGTGCAGCCACACAGGCACAGGCCACACAGGCCGTGAGTGGCCCGAGCTTCAGCCTTTTTTGTCTTTTTGCGCTCTGTTTCTGCCGTCTTTGTCAGCCAGTCTGAGCCTTGCCTTGCTTGCCTTGCCTTGCCTTTTCCCCTCCCCCCAATTGCAGGGCCCGCTATTCACGGCCACAAAAAGCGGCCCATGAATGACGATGTGCAACCAGGGCTTGAGAACGAAGAGCTTAATCGCCGCGGCGAGGGCACGTTTACGCAATTGAGGCGGCATCACCAATGGTGAATCAAAACAAGAACAACAGCCAGCGCAACGGCAGTGTTTGAAAGCAATTGAATGCAAGCATCTGGATGCTCTTTCGACGTACAGGCACGCCGCCAAATCCCCCCAAAGTTGCAATGCACCATCAATGACTGCGTCCCGGTCCGCCATGATGGGCCATCGGGATTAGTATTAATTTGCAAGCTTCCCCGGATTTCTCAGATCTGTCCTCGGCACGGATCCCCCCTGATGCGGCTCAAGCAGATTCTGGGCTTGCCGTAGGGCTGATGAAGAAGTGCTGCCACTACTTACTCAGGGCCAGCTCTGAACCCCACGCCCAGCGAAAGGGACAGTCCAGTCCAGTCAGGTGGCCCGGCGCATCGTGGAACGTCGAGTTGATGCCTTGCTGCCTGAGGCCTGAACCTGGAATTTCACACGCAGCTCCAGGGTAGGACTTTCATCTTATCAAAACGAACAAAGGAATGATTCTCTTCCTGGTACAGTATTATTGAACCTGCAGTGGTGTGTATTACTACCGTGTAATAGCTCCATACTATGTAGGACTCGAGCCAAGCTTTTGGGCGCATGTCAGCAACCTGCAGCCCACGTCAGTCCTATATTTGCATCGCTTTAGCCTCTTGTCCTCGTCCTGCATCAACCAAGCAGATTCGGCAAACTGGACCATTGCGCTGTCATTTGCTACTGTAGCAGTAGTCCACTCTCTGCAAGCCCTGGCGAGATTGTGGAAACCGTCCATGTCTTCTTGCTCTTTGCTTCTCACTCTCTCTCTCTCTCTCTCTCACTCACACAACAGGCGTGACTCATGTTGGGCCAAGACCACTGCCAACTGGCCAAGAATGAAGCCAGCAACATGTCTGTCTGGTGCGTTTGCCGTGCCGCGAGGCCATTGGTCCGGCGTTTCCTCTTTGACGGGCTCAGCTCACGCAATAATACGGCCGGTGCTACGACCAGAGCGGCAGCGATAAAGAAAAAAGGGGCAGCTTGACTAGGTAGGGCCATTCCATCGCTTGGTGTCTGTCCCAGGGTGCCCTTCTTTTGGCCCCCGAGCTGACCCTCGATCCCTGGGACTAGCCATCCAGAAGCGGTATCATAAGGCACGACAAGGGGGTCGGCTGGGGAGTTGTTGGGTCTGGAGCTGGTTCCCGATGCCTGGAGTGGCCAGCCGACAGCCGTTCCGCGATGCGGTCGGTGCGGGCCCTGATGGGGGGGATGGAGAAGCGATGTTTGTTGATGCTTGCCTTGCTGGGTAATACTAACATTTGATGGCACGATGAAGACGACGAGCCATTACTAGGTACCACAGCGATTGCTCCATACTAGATAATACCTACTCGTATGGGGTTGATGCCAGCTGCCTGCAAGCTGTCGGAATGGACTGTGATACTAAGTCTCTGTCCGTGTTAGTAGGTAGATAGTAGGTAGTACAGTGCCATCTCTTCTCCATGTCGAATCACACGCAGCCATGTGAAGACTTGTCTCGTCTCGTCTCGACATGTCAATAGTATCGGCAAAGGGTCTTGTCTTGTCTTGTCTTGTCTCGTCCCCTTTGTCTCTACAAGCGTGATGCAAGCTCGTCAATGTGATCGACACAAGACACAGAGTCTGACAGAAAAAGCTCTCCATGCATCCCATCAGTTTTTTTTTTTTCCAAGCCAAGAAGCCACAGGAAATCCCCGCCATGACGCCCAGCTCGCTCCCCATTCCTATTTTCTTGGCTCGTCGTGTCCTTTGTCTCTCTCCCAGCTTCTCTTCGAAGTAATGATACTACATACTGTAATACAGGACTCTCTCTCTCCTTTGTCCTTGTTCCCCCCGTACACCGATCCCTACCCTTTCCAAAAGCTTCCCTGGCTGCCTTATCGCTACCCTTCTCCATCATGTGATGGCTAAACCCTCCTCCCCCCCGACTGGTTCCACGCGGCCCCCCCTCGATAGTCTGTCCACAACTTTGATGTGTTTACCGACACGCTGGCTCCTGATGACTGGAATGCCGGCCGGCTGGTGGTCGCACCGCTGCGTCTTGGCCGTGCTGCATCTGCATCTGCGGCCTGACACGGATCCGGTCAGCCGCCACCAGCAAGCCAGTCCCAGAGATCCGTCCAGTCTTGTTTTTTCTTTTCCTTTTTTCTTTTTCTTTTTCTTCCATTTCTCCTTGCGGATCATGTTATGCCCCATCACACAGAAGAAAAAAACATAAATAAACTATTGAATAAAAAATGAATAACATGCACATTCTCCCTTGTTTTGTGCCAAGTCATCAGTCAGTCACCCGCAGCCCATGTATGTATGTATGTAACTAGTCGTAAAATTTCCAAACAAAGGCATCCCATCCCATCCTTCTGGTCCACCCATCCATCCCAGCCCTATATCTTTCCTCCCCTTCCCTTCTCTTTTTCCTCTCTTCCTCTTCCACCTCATCCTGCGTTATACCAGTTGATGATTTGATCTACAACTCTCAACCCGTTTTCTTCCTTTATTCCGCACCCGGCGTGCAAGAGCCTCAGCTGCCTTGAAGGCACGGGTCAGTCCTATCGTTATCCTCACCACGCAACGTCAACAGAAGCAAGCCTTCTTTCGTCCGCCGGACTGAGCAGAGAAGCCCTCGTCTGGACATCAATCATCATCATAATTTATACCACTAGAAATCACGTCTCTTGTAACGAAATCACGAAAGAAAAACCAACCCAAATCTTAATTCTACCTACATCCGCCATGGCTCGCTCATCCCGCGCCACTCGCCCTCCCCCCCTGGAGCTCGACGACGCTGCCCTGGGCATCCTGGAATGCTCCCGCGACTCGCTCGACTCACCCATCTTTTCTCCCTCAAAGGTATGAGTGCAAGACTCTCCTCCCCACACATTACTCACTCAGCCCACCCACCCACTCACTCTACACGCAATCTCCATTCCTAACAAAACATGGCATCAACAGAGAGTCGGGACAAGCTCCACCGCCGCCACAAGCCCCCAGTCCATCTCCTCCCCCCAGCGCAGGACCTCGTTCGGCTTCATCAAGTCCTCGCCCACCGTCAACGTCCACACCACCTGCGGCCGCCACACCGACCAGCTGCTCTTTGGCGGGCCCTCCCTCTCCGGCCTGGCGCGCGCTTTTCTGTGGAAGAAGAAGCAGAGGCGGGTTTCGAGCGACTGAAATTCGGATTGCGAATCCCGCAAAAGTGAAAGGCTTGCTCGTCGGCAAGAATCACATCAGGACACGCCGTCGAACAGCTCTGGATCGAGAGTAGCCGACTCCATGTGAAAATGGACGAGTTTGTGTGCTAATACTACGGGGAGCTGGATGGATTCTGTTTACCCTGAATCCTTCGTAATTTTCTTCCCGTCTCTCTTCTGCTTCTTCTTCTTCTTTTTCTTCTTCTTCTTCTACCTCTTCTACCTCTACCTCTTCTACTTCTTCACATTACCCATCGCGCAATCACACGAATTACAGTGCTGGCTGGATCGGTGCGAAAACATCAGGGATAGTACGTTTTATTATGCGTTGTACGACTCAGGATATGTCTTAATGATAGCCTCATCACCTTAACCTATAATCATGTTGGAAGACAAGGGACTTCAAATAAACAGAACAAGAATAAATCTAGACATCTGGAATTAGAAATATTTTCTAAGAAAGAAGACACGTATCATGTGGCTTGCTATTGACATCCTATTACAACGACCTAAAAATGCCACCTCCTTTCCCCCTTGCACACTCCTTTTACGAGGCCACACGGGATCATCGACGTGGCTGCTTACGGCCCTTCCACCTCCCCATCGCCAATCAAGCGACAGCCATCTCAACCGGATCACCAGATCCGTGCACACACGAGGATCAGATAGACGCACGACGGTGGTATCATGTCTTGAGATGACTAAGACTCATACATGTAATCAAAACGCAAGGCATGACCTGCATGCCAGACAAACCTCCCATACGAAAAAGCTTGTGTGTTCGTATTGATATCATGATCACCTCAGTCAAAAAAAGTCATGCCTTTTATCCGGTCATTCATCCAAACCATCGGTGAGCACAAAGTCTGCTGTCCCCCTTCACATGGTACCTGCATCCTGACGCATATGAAAATGCAGAATGATACTCAAAGCACTCTAGACTCTCCCCTCCCCCCTCCCCCCTTTTTCCCTATCCCAATCGGTCGGCTCCGGCATGTACAGTAAGTCCTGGTAATAGCTTGGCTGCAGCCCCCCCCTCCCCCTTCCAAAGGCCCTTCTCACACTCAGCAGACAAGAGGCAAAAGGAGGGGGGGTTGTTGAAAGAGAAGGGTCTGCTTTTTTGCTTGGGTGCTCACCGTCTCGAAAAGGTCCTTTCACGAGTACCCTTGCGCGTCCACGCGTGGACTCGGATAACTCCCCTTATCCGTCGCCGCATATCTCTTGGAGAACCTGTCCAGCATGGTAATGATCCATCGCTGCGTCTCCGCATTGGCAAACTCATACACGATGCGTATCGAGTAGCCCAGCCGAAAGGGCCCCATGATGCCTCTCCCCATCGTCTCGATGGATCGGAGAATGTTCTGCACCAGCTGCTTCTGAGAGTCCCGAAAGTCCACCGGCCAGCGGCACCGCATCAAGAGCTCCTGCAGAATCAGCATGCTGGCCCAGTAGCCCATGAGCATCGTCCCGAGCCATCCGACCGGGTGCTCCAGCACGATCGGGTACGGCGAGCTGGGATCTTCGGAGGCAACTTCTTTCGGCATGACCCCGAGTCTCTCGAAGTCTTCGTACCATGCGGTGAACCGCTCATGGTTCGCGGCCGTGAGTTCGGCGAGATGCCGTATACGCTTGCGATTCACCTCTCTGCCGGCCAGGAGGGCCTCGCGGATGGGATACCCCCACCACATCACCTCGGGCATGTCTGCCAGGCACAGCAGGAAGGAATTGATCACTGGCCGTGTCAAGTCTGGCGCTGCGGGAGAGTAGATTGACCGCGCCGGGCCAGTGAGAACCTTTCTCCATTCTGGGCGGGCTAGGAAGCATTTCTCGCTGGTTGGGAAGAACAGCGAGCTCATAATCTAGACCATGGGGAAAGATTGAGGAAAAGAAGGGCGTGTCAGCTATTACTTGGGCAATTCTGGGTACAGGTAGGGTGTCGGGGTGAAGGGGCATGTTATCATTCTCCCTCGTGTGACGGCTATTGCATGCCGTTTCTCACCAAGGGATCTCGGATGCAGCCTTGCAAACCCTTCAGGGGAGAGCATTGAAAGTCCAGTCCATTGTTCAGCGCTCTCCCTCGGGAGATGCAGGAACAGACAGACTTTCACGTCCCGGGAGAAGGCAAGGAAGAGGAGACAAGACAGTCACACAATCACCAATAGCGTCAGGATGAATATTAGGGGGGGTGGGTAACAACGGGAGTGTGGCCTACCAGGATGCCTCGGAAGGAAAACAGTATAGCTGCATCGTTGCCCTGCGCATGAGCTGCAGGACCACGTTGCTCCATCAGAGTGGCGATTCCTTGAGCATGATGCAGCCAGGTATCCGGCGAAGTCGTACCCGCAAACAGCTGTTTCCCTCCCCGCCGAAATTGAAGTCAGCAATGCTCGGTCAGGCTTTTGTCGTAAGAGCGATGAAAGAAGCAGGGCATGTTTGCTTTTTTGTTGCCATGGCCCCCCTTCTTACGTCCATTTTCCCATTTGAATAATACTCACCTCGAAGAAGCACAGCAAGACGGCTGAGCAAAAGGTCTCGGACGCCTTCCACTTGATGGGATGCCTCAACGCCGCCTGGAGAGCTACAAGAGACCCCCCATACACGGTTCTGCTCCTGGCCACGAGGTTGTCGTCGCCCAGCTCCTTGCCCATGAGATGCAGAGACAGCGAGCAGATGGCGCCATCCAGGGCTGCAGAGGTGCCCAGCGCCTCAAACCTGAGCTGGCCAAAGAAGCTGAGGAACGTAGTCACGTCCTTGGAAGCTAAATTGGTCTGGGCCATGTCCATCAGAGTGCCAACGAAAAGGGCCCGGCTGGGCTGAGGCGAGGCCACCAGGGGCATGACCACCGCCGCAGCAGTGCGACTTGCGATTGTGCTGCTTCTGCTTCTGCTGTTGCTGCCTCTGCTGTTGCTGTTGCTGCCATCGTCAGGCAAAGTGGTGCCAGCAGAACCAGTCGATGCCGCAGACCTCAAAGTCCCCGATGCCGCACCACCAGCACTGCCCTGCTGGCGGCCAGCCCTCGACGCTCGAGTGCCCCTACCCCGGACCGCATGCTTGCCAGACACGAACTTGATGGCTCGCTCGTAGCCGGGGCACTGGACGCCGTACTTGCGACAGTTGCCGCACTCTGGCCTGGCCTCGTCACACTTGACTCTCCTCTGCCTGCACAGCTGACAGCCGCTGCTTCGCGGAACTCCGACCATGGTGAACGGAGGCTACTATGTACTAATCCGCGCGCGCTGTTCCTTTGCCCGTCGGGGGGCCTGTGAGTCGCACGCTTCGAAGCTATCAATAGCGATATGGACTTTTGGGGGGGAGCAGCGGATTTCCGGGCCTTTTGGGAGGGACGGCGGCTTCTCTTGGCAACGCAGGCAAAGGAACTGGAGACATCGAGACGCAAGGCGAAGGGTAGGGGGGGAGAAAGAGGGCGAGCCAAAGGCGCTATGCTGCCGTGAGCACCATGGGCTTGAAGCTATCGCAAGACAGAGGCGCGAGTTTGCAAATTGTGGCGCTCTGCAAAAGTATCTCGTAGTTGTTAGAATGACATCTGATTCTAGGTAGTAGGTAGGTAGGAAAGGTTATGATATTGCAAGTGCAAGGCGGATGTCAATCTGGTGTCTCACAGCAAGGATTTATGCCACCCGTTCGAAAGACGTCAAGATCGAGAGTGAACGGTACAAGATGCAGGTCTGCCTGGGCGATATTGGACACAAAAAGGATTCAGCTGCCCGAACTTGGCACCTCTCTCGTTGGCAACAAGCGGCGTCGTTAGTGCGAGAAGCCCTTTTTCTGCCATTGAGCGAGTTGAAGGAGGTTGATCCTCTTGACTGCTAGTACCGTTTGGGTTACGTTACTCAAGAGCATTGGAGTGTATCCGTAGTTGTACATGTAGGTAGTACTATAGAGGTAGTTGGCCAATCCTCAATTATCCAGACAAATGGATGTTGAGATTCGTCGAGTTGGCGTTCTTCTTCCTCCATCGACTGGAGCAAGGCAAGTTGGAGCTGGCGCCGAGATAAAGTAACACCAGGTAGTTAGGGAGGGTAACAACGCGGTCGACCTTTTAACAGGCAAAGAATCAGTAATTATTCCCTCCTCCTTGTCGGCCGATATGCCTGGTGAGTACGGGATACAGATCCCTACAATCAGCAGCCCTGACAACCTTACAGGCTGATCTCATGCATCCTAACTGCAATGTCTCAATCAAAAGGACCACCAATCACCACTGCAAAGCATTTAGCCCACCTTCTCTGCCAGATCTTGGCGTTGACACGGTAGATTTCTCCTCTCCATTATTAGTTCCGCGTCGAATAGATTGGCCTTGCCGCGAACAGAACGTCAGGTTGACCGGTTGCAACCATCAATCCCACCCTCCCCCTCTTCCCTCCATTAACGTGGTGGCAAGCCGGGCAAAATTCGCCAGATGCTCTAGACTTTGACACTGGAAAGTTGATACATACCTAGTAGTATACTCGTGTTACCTAAGGTACCGTGCCGTAGGGAGGTATAAATACCTTGGATCTGCGTGGCGTCAACAACCAGCGGCCCGCGTTCAAGTTGAGAAAACAGATTTCGAAGAATTTGCTTTCGGCTTGCCGGCATCTGTGATGGGGGACGTTGGTAAGATATCACTTACATGCACGCATGTTCGCTCGGTGTTACGCCGAGTCATGCCGGCTGTCGTTTTCCCCCTCCAGCGATACCTAATAAACGGCGCCTCTTCCGGGGTTGGTGCTAGTAGTAAGAGGTATTACATGTACATATAATATCACTGCTCTTTTTCTTCGTAGGATCAATGCGAGAGCGGTGCTTTTGCTCCTCCCCTGCTTCGCTTGAGCCGCACCCACTTTGGATGAAGACCAAGGGACCTTCACGAGAAGACTGAAAGGCGTCGTCAAAAGCCTCTTCCGCAGAAAGCTTCCGCAGTTGCTCGCACTCTCCACCTCCCGGGGGAGCACGCGCAGACCGGCCTGCTCTTTCATCCTTGCCCGCATCATGTAGTAGACCATCTGTCGGCTGTGTCGTTGACGATAGGCAGTCCTACCTACCCGTACGTACCTAGTAGTATTACCTCTGCAGCCAGATTGTCCAGGTAGGTTTGTCAGTTGGCTGTGTATGGTGTGTATTCGCATCGTATATGTACGAAGTGCGTGCAGGTGTGGTGATGCATACCTAAGTACTTGGATGCCTACAAACACATAAGAGACGTGCAAGGCGTTTGGTGCAACACACCACCACCATCACCACCACCACCACCAGCCTGCATCTCGCCGGAACCGGCGCCCCGCAAGATTGTCGTAGTAGTACATACTACCTCGTACATGGTCAGAACGACAGCTTCTCTTTGCTTGTTTTCGATGAAGATACTAGTAGTACTAGTAGGTAGAGAGATCGGTCTTGCGCCACTTTCGCCTCGTCCTTGCAAAGAGCTCCCGAGCCATCGGGAACGGCCTAAAAATAACCGACCAGACCCCTCCTGTGTCATGTTCGTGTTCCTGTGGTGGAGTGGAGGGCCTCTCGATTCCCTCGACATCTTTTGCCTGGAGCATCACATGAGCCCTTGAGAAAGTCGAAGTCGTCTCTCGCCTCTTGCTCTTGTGGTCGTACAGTAAGATAAGGCAAAGTAAGGTAAGGCAAGGTACCTAGAGCAAGAGACAAGGTGTAAAAGGCCAGAAGCTTCTGGAGACGACCACACGATTACTACTGGGTATGGATACTGTAGGTATGCACTTGAAGTACATGTAAATACTATGATCCCCCTCTGCGAATACGATAATGGCCGCATGGGATGCTGCTGCGACTCCATAGCGCCCTGCATTAAGCTTTCCATGTGGGCTCTCACAGCTTTCGTTACGTCACTGTCGTGCTCGCTTTGTCCGCAGGAGGATTCCATCATCGCGATCGTTGCCCTCGCGAAATTCCGAGAGAAACAGAGCGAGGCAAAAGAGAAGAGACAAGCTGACGAGTAACAACAGACCCTTCGCAACGGGGCGCCGCGCCGACTATTGGCATTCCAGTCTTTCACTTGTTACCGAAAGAGACTTTGGTCATATCGGCGCAAGCGATAGAGCTTAGGTACTTTCTCCTGGCCGCGGTAAAATGAGGAGGGCTCGCGCAATTTACACGTATCCTCGCCGTTCTATGACTCGCAATTTCCGGAGGATATGTGCACATAGTACATAGTAGTACTACTAGTAGTAGGTACCTAGGTAAGGTAGTTCCCGTAAGCGCGTCGAAATTGGGCTTATCCACGAGGCAACCCTTCAAATCTCGTGAAAATCTTCACCACCCCCCGCGGATCACTGCATTGGCGTTGAACAAGACACACCTCCCTGATCCGACTTCTGGCGCCTCTTTGCGCTCCCATCGAGCATTGCGTGCATACATGTAATACATAGGTACTCTACCGGCACCTCATATTTGATGCAAAGTACCGGCAGACAAAAAAGAACGACAAGGCATCCGGCCGGGGATATTGCCTCACCTGGGGCTACTGCATCAAGTAGTAGCGCCAGAAGGCGGCGTGTGTGGGCTGGCGGTGGTGTCTCCATGGGTAAACGACCCACGCCGTAATGCTTGTCCAGCATGTACTCGTACATTCGTACAGTAGTAGTAGTACTCTAAGAAGCGAAGGCTTCGCCGTGGCATCCACGATCCGTGGGCTGCGAGAGTAGAAACATGGAGAAGCGATTGAGAAGCCCATGGTTAGTGCTTGTCGATCCCCGTGCTTGTTCGTGGAGATTTGGCTTCATCTCACGGGCACTGGCTTGGGGTAGTTGCAAGGCTCCTGTCACGTCTGCTGGCACGAGTATCAGCCAGTGTCATCTCATCAGGGTCCAAGTATTCCCATCTCTACTGGTATTCATTCGTAAGCGGGATTGCGGAGGGGAATCTCCAAGCAGAGAAGCGCTTGCTCAGTAGCTTACCTTCGACATCGACGAACGAGTAGTAGCAGAAATACTGTACCCATCGCTTTTGCAGCCGTTGGTTGTGTGCTTCGGCTTCGGTCTCCGCATATGTACGCGCAAGGCAGGCAGAAGCTGTTGCCGCCTCGCCTGAGCACCGCTCAAGCCGTAGGCCGGCCATTACGAAGAGGCAGGTCACTTTTGCGTCTGGATCAATGGTGCCACTGCGATCCCAGCCACCCAATCGAAGACAGCCCATGGGCTTTTGCAAGCAATCTGCTGCATGGGCTGCCTAACGGTCATGATGGGACGATGCAGCAGTTGTCGTATTGGGGCCGGCTTGTCTGGAGGTGCCGGACAAGACGACATGAGGAGGGGACGATGAACCAGTACCGGTACCGAGGAGAGCGTGTGGCCAGGCCGCGGTCAATGTACCTTATCGCTCCTCCGTCCGTATCTAAAGTACTTTTGGTTGGTAGTAAGGTACCTCAATTTGTTCCCGTCTGGATGGCTGCGCGACTTGGGGATCTGGCGTTTTGCTAGATGTCGATCTCGTCGTGGGGGGTGGAATATCAGCTTCACCACTTGACCACCTCGAGCGGATGCAGATGCAAATGCAGATGCAGATGCAGATTTGGTGGCTTCTGATCAAGATGCCAAAGTCACCAGCGACGCCAAAGCAGACAACGCGTCCGGCGAAAGCAGCATCGAAAACGAGATGGAAGAACAAAGACGCCCTGCATCCGGCGTGGAGGGAGACGAACGAGGATGCGGCATGAACGCACAGGTACCTGTACAGGTACGAGCCTCCGGGCGCGCCACCATCAAGCACCTGTAGAGGTACAAGTGCTACAAGCTCCGGGCACCTCGTACGA